AATATCTACACCCAGCTTGTTTCTAGAAATTGATTTTTTTTTTTTTATTAATTTGATCATTTCCTTGTGTCATGCATGCATCACAGCTATTAAATAAATATTATATAAAGCATCACTTACATTAATTTATAGGAGTTTATTTAATAATAAGATATTTATACATGATTGCTTGTAGAAGTTGTATATGCTTATTATTTTATAGTATTATATTTATCAGGGACAATATGAGATGAGATCAACCAATGAATTCACCTTTATGGCTTTTTCTTGTTTTTTTAACAAAAGTACTTTACATCTCTAATTCATGTAGCTTTGCGGAATTCGGATTCAGGGAATAAGTGTTTTATTATTATTATTATTATTATAAAGCAATACTTTTTCTTTCTAAGGCACTTGCAAATGATATGCCTAAAGAAAAGAAAGGGCATTATACATAAATGATTGACATAAAGGTTTTTAAGCACTAATCCTTTAACATCATTTTTTTTTTTTTTTTTGCCTATTGTCACAACATATCATCATAATAATTAAAGAAAGACATTAGGGAATGATGTTTTCTGTTCAATTAATTGTATGACTTAAAGCCAACTTGAGTGGTTAATGTCACTATTTTTAGGTTTGATGAGGTAAAATTCGCTTAATATATATATATATATATATGCTGACAAGATTTTGTTTTGCTTGCTAGCATTTCACTTGTATTTGAAGTTTCAATGCTCTACATTTGTATTGCAAGTTTTCTCCTCCTTTTCAAGTAATTATTTAAGAGTATAGATTAGAGCCTTGATTAACATTGAAACTTGTGGATGAAGTAAAAAGATAAATAAAAAAGAATACTAGTATGTTTCTTTATGTTTGTCCTTGTTGATTTTGATGGCATTGAAAAAAATATTAATTTTAATGTATTTAATATTAAAATTTTATTTTAAAATATAAATATTTTAAATATTAAAAAAACAATTTTGAAACATATAAAAAAAAAAAAGGAGAAAATTTGTTCAAAAACGACAACGTGACCGCAAATGAATTCCGTAGAAGGATAATTTTAATATAGTGTAGGAATATAGAGCACAATGACAATTTCCACTGAATAACATTTTTTTCTCAAAACACAATAATTGCAGCCTTTGACGTTTTCTCCCTTACTCCTTAAAATCCTCTTTATCACCCACACGCAAACTCCTTTGACTCTCTCGACAAAAGAAAAACAAAAAAAGAAAAAGGGCCAGCAAAAATCACAGCCGCAATTTGGCTCACGAAACCTTACTTTTCTTTCCACACTGTACAGGTGGGGATGTGAGCATTATTTGCTTGTGGGAATCTCTGATGTTTCTTTTTTTTCTTCTTTTATGAAATTAATTTTCATTTTCTTTTCCTTTCTAATTTTTTTTATAAGAAGATAAACGCCCGTACGAAAAAAAAATGTGAAATTAGAATTCATGGGCACATATTTTTCTTTTTCTTTCCAATTTACTCCTCGCAATTTTACAAATTGTGGAAAAGCAGTTTCCCTTCTCCCTACGGAATCAGGCAGGCTGGCAGGGAAGGTTCTCCATTTGTCAAAGTTTTAGACTCCGGCTTAACTATATCTCAACTGTCCCACGTTACCTCCACTTCCACCATCTGTCGTTACTACCCCTACTATTTTTTCATTACTTCGAAACTGCCATTGCCCTGGGTTTTTTTTCTTCTTTGTACAATTTAATTAATTAATTAATAATAATTTACAAGGTTGGTTGAGACCGTGAGAGTGCAGCTGTGACATGGGATCCAATCTTCCCATCTTATAGTTTTATGATTTGAGTGATTGAAGAAGCTTTCTGTTCCATATTATTATATATTTTTAATTAAACCAAGTACAACTGAAAGACTTTGGTGATGATGCATAGAGCTGCAGCAACTATTCAACTTGGCTTTTTTATATTTTCTTGTATTGCGACAAAGAGTACCACTTATTTTAATTTCTATTATTGTTCACACCGTTCTGAGTTCATAACTATTATCGAAGGCAAAGAAGTATCATTAAATTTAAAATGTACAATTTACGAATTTTTTTAGCATCATCATTTTGTTTTCTCATTAACAATAAAAGATTCGGATGTAAATTTTCCACCTTCTTTTTTTATACTAATATTTTAGTCGCATTATTACTTAATAGCAGCGGCATAGTTTTTGTGTAATTTTGATGCTTAGAACAGTACCAAAAGGCAGTTTTATAAGAACGCATAATAATGTTTAAGTAATTTTGTGATAAAAGAAATTTGAGGGGTAATCCTTTATGTTTGAGCAAGTTTGAGATCCATAGCGTGTTTAAAATTTGGTTAAAAACTAATTAATAAATCGACTATCAAATTAAATTTCAGTCAGTTATTAAAAATAATTTTAAATAATTTTTTTTATTTTTGATTAATAGAATTTGATAATTAGATTAACAAAAATTTTAATCAACATATAACAAAACTTAATATAAATTTTAAAATATATGAAATGGATCATTTATTTTAAAAATTATTAGACTTTTTAATTAGTATTTTAATATTTTATTAAATGATTTTATTTATTTTATTTCAAATACAAAATTAATAATTTAAAATATAATATAAATTTATCTTATTATTCATTTAACTAAAAAATTAATCAAATTGATTAAATTAAATTTGAACAAATAATTTGATTTGATAAAAAAAATTAATTTAATTAATTTAATTTTAAATAATTCGATTTAAAATTATCTCAATCGAATTAACAAGCGCTAATACATGTAGCAGTTTAACCGCTTTTTGAATAAATAAAATCGTGTACTTATAAAAAGAAAAAGTAAGGGGAAAGAAGAAGATGAAGAAAAATTTGAGAGGGGAAGCAAACGGCAAAGAGTTTTGTAAGGGTATGTTTGTCTTTTTGAAATGAATAGATTAGTGGAACGATCTCTCTCAAATATTACATCCGATTCAAAATAGTGAGACAGGAAGATTTAGGAAATCTTGAAATGTGGCATCAGTTGAAGGTGGCACTTTTGGCATTTACCCTGAATCCGACGCGGGTGCCCGTCGTTTTGGAGGCAAGTAGGTCCCTGACCATTTATTTCCTCACCCACCCTCCCCCACGACCACCCCCCTTATGACCCAATCACCGCTCCCTAATTCAACTAAAATTATTCTTTTTCCTTATCATCTTAAATAAAAAAAAGACATCCTAACATTATCATTAGTGGAAAGAAAGTAGTCGCTGTAATATAATCTTAATTTAAACAAATAAATAAATAAATTTCAATGACAATGGGACCGTCTCTTTTTTGTAAAGAATCTCCGACGCATTCTCAATTTCAAGTACCCCTCACCTTAAAGGATGTTCGTTTCATTGTTTTTTTTTTTTTTCATCTTCATTTTCATTGTCCTTATGAAATAATCATAGTTAGTTAAGCGTACAATTCAATGCGAGCACCTTATAAATGCAATTGTAAATATTAATATTTTTCGCTTTATATTATGTAATATCTCATAAAAATTTTATGTTGAAATTTATTATTGAGTGTTAAATTTTTAATTTAAATAATTAAAATTTAGTCTTGAATTGTTTTAAACACCAATAATATATATATATATATATATAAGACTATGGGTAAAGATGTTTCCTTTAGAGGCAGGGCGGCTTAGTTTATTTTTTTCATATCGAAGGATTTCTTCCATTTGTACAAGTAATCGTCTAGGCGTCGATTTGATAAACATACAACTAATAATTATATAAATCGTGTTTTTGGTGCCGTATAAAACAATTGAAGTCTTCAATTTGCTTCATCATTCCATTTTGTGAAAATTTTCATTCTATAATTTAATAATGCATATATAATTCATTGTTGCTGACTAAATTTTATAGTAAATTTATCATCTAATATTAAATAAAACCACCAACTGTTAAATAATTAAACTAAGTCACGAATGATAAAAAAGTAATAAAGAAAAAATACATGCAAATTTATTAATTTCTTCTTAATAGTAAGCATTTCTCAAATATTAAACTTGAGCTTTCGCATGTAAAAAAAATGAGTGACGGCGAGTTGTATTAGGAAACGACTTAACTTAAAGAGGCAGGAGTCGCCGCTGCTAGGTGAGGGAGTAACTTAGTTTCCAGCAGCGGATTCAAATAATATAATAACATGTTTATAGACATCTTTCAAATATTAAAAAAATAAAAATAAAATAAAACATTTGTGGACACTTTAAATATTTCTTGAAATCCATTTTTACTGATAAAATTTATAAATTCATGATAATTATATTTTATAAATAAATATAAAAAAAAATCCAAATCTACCGTTATTTATTTGAATTTGGGTGCGGTGCTCTTACGAGAATGAAATGACGCCCCAGCTCGACTCGGCTAAACGCCAATTCAATGGAACTTGAGACATTTCGTGAAGCTGTTGCTCTATCCGTAAACTGACGGCTAACAATATTCTGTCCCCTGGGACCTTCGTCTTCACGTTCCCAAACGATTTGCCTAAAAGGGCTTGTGAATAAAGGCTAAAAGAAAAAAGATGGTGAAGGGTACTTCCGTACTTTCATGACCTCACCATTAAGCACCTTGGTGAGCTCCAGCTGTAACCATATGACATAAGGTGACTTCACCGTTACGAGGCTGCTTGCAACCTTTCCTTTTAATCCTATTTGGGCCAGTCAGAACTCAGAACTCAGAACTCAGAAGGCAACACCTCTGATTTATCCTGACCAAAAAAACCGTTCTCACCTTACAAAATATTAGCAAGGAAAGGGTGGTATGGTGATTAGGCAACAACCTGGGCAGCGGAAGGAGATGATGGAGTTTTTTTTTTTTTTTTTTTAATTACAAACATGTTAAGATTGTGTGGAAGGAAGGAAAAGCGTTGAAAGATAGCTAGGCTTAAAGTTTAGACGCATTCGGTTCCTTTTAGATTAAAAACATTAATCTTTACGAAGAGAGCTAATTTAGTTTAACTCACTTTGTTAAAATAGCGTCAAAAGAAGAAGCAAGGAAAGGGGAGAGGGAAGAGCTTGAGTGTGATTTACGCCAAAAGGGTCGTCCTTATTCTATTCCCCTCTTAAGACGCCCCTCCTTCCCCTTCAACATCCCTGTTACTATAAAATAAAAAAAAAGCCACAATTTCCCTCCCATATGCCCACCTCTCTGTCTGATAACAATTAGTATAACTTTTCCTTTCCTTTTATATCCTGATTTCTTTCCCCTTTTATTTTCCTTCTTGTTCTTGTTCCCCTTGTTGATATTCTCTGTTGCTTTGAGGGAATATAAGAAGTTAAAGGTGGATGCTTGAATCGTATGCTTATTTGGGCGTTTGAAGACTCCCTCTTTTTCGTTTTGTTTTGAGCCAAGTGTTGTTGTTAAGCTACTTCAGGGCTTCTTGGTTTTCTGCTCCTTTTTGTATTTTTTTTCTTCTTTTGGAGATGGAGAAGCTTAATTTTGTAAAGAATGGTCTGCTTAGATTGCCTCCTGGGTTCCGGTTCCATCCTACTGACGAAGAGTTAGTGGTTCAGTACTTAAGAAGAAAGGTGCTTGCTTGGCCGTTACCCGCCTCTATCATTCCTGAATTTGATGTTTGCAAAGCTGATCCTTGGGAATTGCCAGGTTGGTTACTTCGACAGCTCAGTCATAAAAATTGGTTTCTTCAATAAAACATTAAAAAAGGCAGCCTGAAGCAGAATGTCATTTACAACAAAATTCCTTTTTAATCATTTGTGGAAGTAGCGTGCTGATATAGCTCTAAATGTAACAGCACTTTGAGCTGTTAACAATTATAAGCCTTTAGGACAAATTTTAAGAAAAAAATTAGATGGTCTGATACATTGGGTCTTCGTTGTGTGTATGATCAGGTGATTTGGAGCAAGAAAGGTACTTTTTCAGCTCTAGAGAAGCCAAGTATCCCAACGGGAATAGATCCAACAGAGCCACAATTTCAGGTTATTGGAAAGCAACTGGAATTGACAAACAAATTGTAACTTGTAGGAGCAACCAAGTGGTGGGTATGAAGAAAACTCTGGTTTTTTATAGAGGAAAGCCCCCGCAGGGATCTAGGACCGATTGGGTCATGCATGAATATCGCCTTGTTAGCGCTGAGGCATCAGCTTGCAATGCCCCGCATAAGAAGAACCAATCTCAGGTCAATTTTTGGTCTTGCTAATTTCTTTTACTTTATTGTATATTACTACTTGTTTCATAATTCAAGCGTCTTATGCCAAACACATTTCAAGAATCATTTTTACATATACTAGTAGTTAATTAGTACTAGTAATTAGCATCACATTGTTTAGGGTTTAATCATGCTACGTTGGTCATTGAAATTGATGATTGTGTTAAAACCTTTGCAGAGCCATGTGGCGCCAATGGAAAATTGGGTGCTGTGCCGCATATTTTTGAAGAAAAGAAGTAGTACTACTAAAAACGATGATGACAGCAAGCAACCTTGCAACGGGAACGGAGTTCGTAAACTAAGGACATGCAGACCTGTTTTCTATGATTTCCTGACCAGCAAGGACATGACTGACTTAAATCTTGCCCCTTCTTCCTCGTCCTCTGGCTCCAGTGGGATCACACAAGTTTCCAATAATGACACTGATGACCACGAAGAAAGCGTTGGTTGCAGTAGTTTTCCTTATTTCAGAAGAGAACCTTAAAAACACACTTCACGCTTTTCTTTTCGAGCCTGTATCAATAGTTGGCGTTCTGATTAGCCAATCACAATAACCTCTTTTAAAGAGAAAGAAATCTAGTGTTTGGTAATTTAATCTCCTTTGTCTAGTGATTATTGTTGGGTTGGGCTTCATGTTCAAACATGATTAAAAACTCCATGGAAATAAATTAAACTAAACGAGAAGATAATCGATCACACTAGCGATTTTCAAATGATAAAAATATCATTTAAACAATCATTTGTTTAAGAATCGGCACTAACAGGTATCATAATTTTTAGTGTAAACAGTTTAATGAATCCTTGAACATCAAGAAGAAAGAGACGAGGCAACACTCACCTAATTAATTGTTTGGTCTCCAACAGTATCTACGGAGCAACAACTTGTTGAAACCTTCATAAGGATTAATAGGTTTATGTTAGCAAAGCTTTGTTTCATAAAACAAGAAGCTTTTCTGGTCTTTTTTTTTTTTTTTTCCTTAGCCGAATATCACAAAGCAACACTTCCTCTATCACTTGTGTGTGCGCGGCAAGGGATGAGAAAAAGATGATGAAGGCCAAGTTAATTAAGGTGATAATAGTGTATAAATGACAGTATATCTTTGACCAATCCGGTTGGTTTTAGAGCATAAACTAACAATCATCAGGAAGAGAAAGAGATATGAGCAAAAGAAAAAAAAGTTCGAATTCGGCATTGACCATTATACTTAGTTCAAACTATATTATAAACACAAGGTGCTCCTTGTAATGAATCTCCAAATTACAACAGTTACTGATATTACCCCCTTTTTGGCATTTAACAAATGTTTTCACAAAACAAGTTCGACGTTGCTTTGCAGATGAACATGCATAGCAAGTTCTTCAGAAAAAGGCAAATGATTTTTAAAATAAAGGAAAATGCAAGAGGCGCAGAAAAGAGTAATATAGAAAGAAAGAAACAAATATATATGGCATATAATAATAATACATCTCTCATATATATATATGTATGTATATATATATATATGTGTGTGTGTGTATGTGAACTTTGACAAAAGCATAACGCTTTTTGGGGATCACAAGAATCAGCTTAAGATGTTTGCAAATCAGCATTTGCACGAGGTTCCCTACTCCCTCCCCCTTGCGGGAAAGGAGAAATCAGTTCAAAAAAAGCCAATTCCCTTTGACACACCCACTATTTCACAGTGGATGGAATCTCCAAATTAAAAAAAAAAAAATTATGAACCTTTACCAAGTTCTAATCTTCCTGTACATTCCATTAATCTAGTATAGTTTATCATTGACAAAATGAACAAATTAATTCTGTAGCAAGAAACAGACATTGATTGTGGGCATAATTTTTTTAGCATTAGTAACTACCGTCGCACACGATCAATACTCGTATAAAACAATACAATTAAGAAACATGAAAGAGCGAATAGGTCTTAGGGTGTAGGAAAACAGGGTTAAGTTATAAAATTTGAAATTACAAGACTTAGTTGGTGGAAGTAGCTAGCCAGGGATACTAATTAATTGTAGAGATTCTTCACCTAACTAAGATGGGAGGGGGAGTTTGACAATGAGCTTAATTCAACCGTCCCATAGTCGTGAAAGTCTATCTAATAACTTAACGTTTAGTTTGTCTAGCATATGATTTCTTGGAAATTCTTGCAAAGATTACGCTCTTAATCAAACACACACAGTAAAAGAATTAATTCTTAATAATCAAATATATCAGATCACGTAAGAGCGACTCATTAAGTATTCCTTGTTCGTAAAGAAATATAGATCCCATCTAATTCTAACTTCTACCCAATAGAAAATATCCTGGCATTTGAAATTTTGTTGCTCTAAAGTCTAAATGGATTTTAACAGTAGGATTAATTCTCTCACACTCTCACTATTCTCCAACTGCACTGCAGTTTTGACTTTTGACTCCCAATAATGTACAAAAATAACATACAATGTCCCCTCAGTATTATACTAGTGTCTTGCATGCAAAGGATCCGGAGCATGTCTCCTTTTATTGTTGACTCACTCCTCATAATTAAACCATAAATCTAAGCTGAAAATACAGGTTATCAGGTATGATAATCATCCATGACTTGTTGATTTATACAGCAAATTTTTTTCTTTTTTAAAAGAAAGAGTTACTTATATAAGGTCGGTTATCACAGTACCCAAGGATGTGATATCATAAACCTGAGAGGTTAAAGAGTGAGCCATGGAGGTTTATATGATTGGCAAGTGGATTCCATACAGACTCAAGACGGCATATATATATATATATATATATATATAAAAGATATGTAGATTATACCTTGATTAACACTATGATATCGTCCATAATTGAGGTATTTACTATATGCCAAAATAGGAAGAGAAAACAATTATTAAGGATTAAAACATGGCATGACCTAGATATATATATATATATATATATATATATTAGTTTTAGGCATATATAGTGAGTTACGTATAAATTTTATTTTTAAAATTTTATTTTAATAAATATTTTTTTATATTATGATTATAACGATAAATGTTAATAATTTAATTTAATTTCTATATAATATAAGTAAAATTTAATAATTTTTAATACAATTTATATAATCTTTATTATTAATTTAATAACTTAAGATATAATTTTTATAATCATTAAAACAATTTTAATAATCTTTTATAAAATTTTGATAACTAATATAATTTTAGTAACCTTCTATTAGTTTATAAAATATTTTTAATAATCATCGATAAATATTTTCTTTTTACCTTATTAGTAAAAATCATTGATAAATATCTAAATTCTACCCTGCAATGACCGCAATATCCCCACAAGCAATTAAAAATTCCCCATCAAAAATCAAATTAATAACAAATACTTTAAATATCTATCCTCTTATTGCAACAGAACCGTCCGATTGTTTTCACGGGAGAGCTATGATTGAATCCTGACCCTTAAAATGACTTTGACGGCTGCGGAATGTCTTACCGTAGAAAAGTGGCTCAAGGGGGAGAGAAAGAATATTATTTTATTTTTATTTGAACGTAGCGGATGTATGCTACTGCTGCATACGTCTCTCTTTCCATTTTTGGGCAACTCACTGCCTATTAATTTCCTTCGAAAAACAAAACCCTAATTCCAAACTCTAATTTTGTTTTTTACATTATTCCAAAAACAGGTACGTTCTTTTTATCTCCTTGAGCCAATTTGGTTTTTCATCCATTTCCGTTTGGTTCCCACTTTCCAACATCTTTTTTTTCTGATTTAGATTTCTCGATTTTCTTTCTCGGTTATAAATATAACTTCGTTCATTTTCATCGTTTATTTTTCTGAATCATTTGTCACTGATTAATGCTTTGATTTACTTTGTTAGAATAGAAAATCGTCATACTTAGTGAGTTAAATAGGCATTTTACACTAATCGTTGCTCTAATAACACTGTAATATTTGTTTTCTGCTTTTTTGATTTTGATGAAACTGGGATTGGCTGTTGTTGTTTTGGTGATTAGAGAAAAGTGAAGGAAAGATGTTGGGAATAGTAAGGCAAACGGTGAGTTCTGGAAACTCTCCTGCTCTCTCATATACCTTTATTGAAGTTTCAGTAATTCTAATAGGCTTTTTTTTTTTTTTTAAATGTTCTTTTTTGTTTATTCAGATGTTGGGGCAGTCATTGCAGAAGATTCGGCCTGCAGCGTCTGTGTTGAGAAGTTACTCATCTGCAGCAAAACAGGTAATATTTTTCACCTTTTTTTTCTTGGTATAGTTCTATATTTCTTTGTCGGTTTAATGCTATTAGATATCAAATTGCATATTGTCAAGCGTTCACTCCATCCCAATAGAGTAGCTGTCTTCAATATTAGGAGCTACTCTATAGGTTACTTCAATAAACAAATTCAGAAGAAAGACCAGCATCTCATGTGTGCATGCACATGCACACACACACACACACACACACGCAGATATGGTTATGCTTGTAATTGTGTATGTATGTATATAGTTTGCATCTTCTTGCAGTTAATGTTAAATGGCTTTTGTGATTTTTAATCTCCGCTAAAGGAAAGGCTTAATTTTCTAGGAGTATTGATTTTTTTTAATGACAATTATGCACAGATGACAGTGAGGGAGGCATTAAACTCTGCTCTTGATGAGGAGTTGTCGGCTGATCCAAAAGTCTTTTTGATGGGTGAAGAGGTGAGGAAATGTTAACAGAACTTTTTTTTTTTTTAATAATTCTAGCCATATTTTTGGCTATTCTTTTTGTTTTAATGCCCATTCTTGTGTTTTTGTTTCTTAAACTTATAAAATGCAGGTTGGAGAATATCAGGGTGCATACAAGGTTAGCATTTCTTGCTCAAGAATAAAATTCTCTCCATAGAAGCATTGTTACATCTGTCTGAGGACTGGTTTTTATTTCCCTCTTTTGTAGATAACCAAGGGGCTTTTGGAGAAGTATGGACCTGAGAGGGTTCTTGATACTCCAATTACTGAGGTTATTATGTTCTTGCCATCCTATGTTGTTACTCCTTTATTCTTTTTGTGAATTTCATTATTATTTGATCGAATGATTAATCTCACATGCTTATTCTATGCATGTATTGATGCTTTTTAATTTTATTACACTGTTTTCTCACCTCAGTTGTTTATTTCTTGTTTCACAGGCTGGTTTTACTGGCATTGCAGTTGGTGCTGCGTACCATGGTCTAAAGCCTGTAGTGGAGTTTATGACAATTAACTTCTCCTTGCAGGTTAGATGGCTCTGTTTTGAATTTCTGCTTCTGTACTCGTTTATTAGTTTGTTGTGCTACAATATTCCTAAAATTTGAAAACGACTTCTAAATAAACTGATATACATATCATGAAAAAGAAAGGAGATAGTATATTATCATTTGCTTTCTTTTTTAAATACAACGAAGTTAAAAACGCTACTGTAAAGTGGTGTTGAAATCCTTAGAAGCTTGTATGAATGAAGTATGCATGCTTTCCTTGAAGCCTGACATGCTGAAGGAACCTATGTGATAAGGTATACTGGCTAACTAGGAAAGGATAAGATAAATTATGTATGTGTTATTTTGATATTCTCTTTCTATATTCAACTAGACATAGTATTAAATTATAAATACACGTGGTTGTAAATTACAAATGGAAAGTGTAAAGGAAAGAGATGGTATTTAAAATGTGTTGTCACAGCTGGTATTCTTTTATCAGTAATTGGTCCTTATCTTTTATGGTTCTGGTTAAAGAAGCCAAATCATGTTGTTGGAAAGCAAGTTTGTTTAGCTATAAGTGATTCAAAGTTTTTGTTTCAGTTTTGTAATTCTCTTTGGTGAATTATGCATGTTCTAATAATCAAAGAACTAGTGTTAAGAGAAGCCAAGAAATGGCACTTCTGAAGATTTCCTGAAAACTCTTCCAAGGAGGTGTGTTTTTGTCGAAATTTGGAATCTTTGGAGTTCTTGTGGTAGCCATCTTGCTGTGTAAGATGTACTGGCTTCTAAAACCATGATTGATTTCCTCCTTGCTCAGAACTCTCAAATCTTAAGAGAGCAAGTGGTTTGGATATGTCTTTTTAGACTGTTCCAACATCGTATGTACTTGGACATATTGCATGGTGTTTTCCCAAGGTCTAGATTTAGTCATTATTGTATGGCAGAATTTCATGAATTTAAAGCTATATAAGTATTCGTCATTTTAATGGTAGTAAACTAGTTAAATGACTTTTCTTACTCTTAAATGTGTTTTTATCTGGATCTTAGTCTGATGCAAAATTTTCTTTGATCTGTTTCTGGCATTTATTGCAGGCAATTGACCACATTATTAACTCTGCTGCGAAGTCCAACTATATGTCAGCTGGCCAGATATCTGTACCCATTGTTTTTAGAGGACCTAATGGTGCTGCTGCTGGTGTTGGTGCCCAACACTCTCAGGTATGGTTTCTTCAAACTGTTACTTTCACCCTATATTTGGTTCATTTCACATACATCCACTCTCCCCTGTTCCCAAGAGCCTACTGAGGTTTAAAATTGATTTATTTTGTACTGGGTATTGTGATTACTGTTTAATTATTTTCATTTTATAGAAGTGTAGCTGAGTTTCAATATAGTAAGAAGCTTGTATAATTATTTTGTCTTCTTGGTTGTCATCCAGTGTTATGCAGCATGGTATGCTTCTTGTCCTGGGTTGAAAGTCCTGACACCATACAATTCCGAAGATGCTCGTGGACTGCTCAAAGCTGCTATTAGAGATCCTGACCCAGTTGTTTTCCTTGAAAATGAGTTGTTGTAAGTGAATTGATAAAATGTGATTCCTATGTATTGAGCTCCCACTCCACTGGTCCAGCCTTTAATTAGAATTTTAATGTCTGACATTATTCTGATATAAGTGTTTTGCTTCAGATATGGTCAATCATTCCCTGTTTCTGATGAAGTTCTTGATTCCAGTTTTTGCCTTCCAATTGGAAAAGCTAAGGTAATGCCTGCTATGACGCCCTTTAAATTTTACTCACAAGACTTTTGTTATTACTATTATTGATGCTTCTGCAGTGAATGATTCTGCTGTAACTCACATCTGATGATGCTGCATTCTAATGGCATTTAAATTTATCATTTAACCGTCTTCTTTAACCAGATAGAGAGAGAAGGAAAGGATGTGACTGTTACAGCTTATTCAAAAATGGTGGGCTATGCTCTTAAGGTAGGCCTTGTATTCAGTATATGTTTGGATGTGCCGCGCCTAATTTTCTTTTGAGATAGATTGTAAATGTAACTGCACAAGATTCCACAGATGAGATAAAGGAATAATCTAAAGCTATGAAACACGGGCACAGCTGCTATCCTCACTTATTCGTGTAAGATACGTGTCTGACAATGATAGTTGTTTGACATGTTCTGATACATGATAGTATTGCTGGATATGCCAGAAACATAAAAAACAATAAAGTTATTATACCATATACGGCATGGACGCAGCAATGAAGGGCAAAAAGTTCTGGCTGCTGGCGGTGAAGAAACAAAAAATTATTTTTGGCGGTGTCTAACCAGAGAAATAGAAGAGAAGAGAGAGGAACATCAAGAACAAAACGATCTTCCATAACTTTTGGCCTTTGATAGAGTTGGATCTAAGTGGTTGAGACTCCATTTAGTAGTGAAAAGTTTGATAAATTGGATGGAACTTGGGTATAATATTGGGCTGTGTCAAATGTAATTTTGGCTGGAGTGCCTAAAACTTTATTGGGTAATAACTTTTGAGTTTAAAAGATTATTGGACCAGATTTATTTATAATATTATTCAGATTTATTAATTGCTGGTAGTGACTAGTGACTGAGGTGGACACTTCATTTATCTTGTGTACTGCAGGCTACTGCATTTAGTTAGACTATCTTTTAATCAGTGTGCTCAAGAACCGCCTCAGATATGGTGTGGCAGAGGTCCCTCTGATTGAACAAGTTAAATATGTGCGCAAATGTTAAAATTAGAGCTTAGTGCACTTGTTAATGGGACATCCACTATCAATATTAGTCTGCTTAGTTCTTGTTTAGGGATTTCTTTCTTTTTACCTCGTTTTGTAATTTTCTGAAAATTCAATTATATTACTAATATGTTGGCTTGTGAATTTATCAACTAATAGACTGTTTGTTGTTCAGGCGGCTGAGATACTTGAAAAGGATGGAATTGATGCTGAGGTAAATTATAACACAAAGAAGTGCAAGCCCTTGCAAGCTCATATGATCATTCTGCTTAGAAGTGAAATGCCTGATTTTGTTAAATACAGGTTATAAATTTGCGTTCTATTAGGCCGCTAGATAGATACACAATTAATGCCTCAGTCAGGAAAACCAACAGATTAATAACAGTTGAAGAAGCATTTCCCCAGCATGGCATTGGTGCTGAAATCTGGTCCGAGTTCTTTTCTCTTTAATCATTTAATTTCTGCTTACCACGTATTCTGGCACCTTCTATATTTACACTGTACTTTCACAGTGCATCTGTTGTGGAGGAGAGTTTTGCTTATCTTGATGCACCGGTTGAGAGAATTGCGGGAGCCGATGTTCCCGTGCCATATGCAGCAAATCTTGAGAGAATGGCTGTGCCACAGGTGATTCCATTTCTCCCTATATTTCTATTTTGACTGGCTTTCAAGTTTATGGTGAAGTGAGGCATTTGACAACTAGGGTCTTTCTTTGATCCAGCCCCCCTTCTTCCTAATGCAACCTTTTGTCAAACCAGCTAGTTTGATGGCTGCACGGATTTGTACAATTACATTATATAGACAATAGGTTAATTTTATTTATTTATGAATTCTGCAGGTTGAAGATATTGTCCGTGCTGCAAAGAGAGCATGCTTCCGATCTGTACCTTTGGCTGCTACTGCATAATTGAACCAATCCAGGCAGGAAACTTTTCCTAATACAGGCTAGTGTCAGTACTGGCTGTTTGCCGCATCTCTTTTTTTTAATTCAAGTCCTCTTTCTGGGTTGCAGTGTTTTTAAATTTTTTATCTTGCCTTGGGCCTGTTTATCTGTTGTCAATTTCTAACATAATCAATGATTCTTCTCAGGAATTAGAGGGATATGAATTTTACCTTCTCAAAGCTTTCGTGGAGAACCTGCTTTCATTTAATAACTGGGAGATTGTTAGAAATGGCTGGAGATTTTGACTGCCATTTGAACACAACCTCTTCCACCCTCAATAGCCAAAATTTATTTATTTTTCTCGTATCCGGTGCACACCCTCTCGAAACTGTTTCTGAGCTTTGGGTTTCAAAAAATTTTTTTTTTTTCAGTTTAATGAATTTTTGATTGCGCCGATTCGATGTTTGGGAATTGCTACCAAAGTAGTGTTGTCAGAAAGGGGAACCACTTTGTAGGGGAAAGTAATAAAAGATTACCATTAAACTTGGTCTAATGGTTGGCACTTGTTACGTTACATTTGAATAATTGATTTTCATAATATTAAAAATAGTAATGATGAGGATATTAGTTTTTATATTGGTGGAATTGAGTATAGTAAAGATAAAAGTAAAAAATATAAAAATAAAGGTGACATAAAAATAACTGTTAAGGACATTAATTTGTAAGTGAAATAAAAATTTATTTTGACGTATATTTTAATTTTATTTAATATTTAAAATATTATAATTTAATTACATAAGGCACAATTAAAAATAATAATAGTACGATTTAAAAATGAAATGTTATTTTTTAAATTATTAAACTTCAATTTTAGTACATTTTTAAATGTATGGGTAAAATTGAATTAAAAAATGTCCAGGCAAAAATGTCATTGCATTTTTTTTTCCTATCCAAGAAAATGTTTGCTCTCATTGGTGAAATTTTTACCATTTAGGCTCAATCGAATTATTGTACAAATAATCGCGGTGTAATTACACAAAAAGTTATTTAATCGGCAGTCGAATTATTGCACAAACAATCATGGTGTAATTGCACACAAAAGATATTTAATCGCATCGTCTCTGCGATGAAATCCGCAGCTTTAAAAGGATTGCAATCCGCAAGGTGAATGAAATATCTGAAAAGGACCAAGTCTCATTCATTGAATGTTAGTAGGTGGCAAGGATCGGAAGCTATCGGTAGAACCTTTTACTCTTTAGTGCCAATTTGGATTTGACACTGGACTTCCGATATGGTGAGATCCAATGCCATTTTTTAGGCCAATCCCATCGGGGGTGCATTTACGTACCACTTTGCCGTGCAATTGGCCCTAACAACCCTTCAGTCACCGATTAGAGGCAGAAGGGTTGAGTGATTCTATAAAATAAGCGATTGCTCTGTTATAAAAATGAAAAATATTATCGTTATCATGACGCCTAAATTCAAATATATATTTTTATAATTAATTTTAATTTTATGTCATAATATTTAATTTCATCATTGTTGTTGTTTTCAATCTTAATAGAATCATTCTCGTCGCTAATCAAAAGGACCTTTAAATTCCCTAGCTGTCTCTTTCTTTTTCTAAAGGCAATTGTTTGACTTATTTTTCATTTAAAGGCTCCTTGCACTCCGACCTATACGTAATGTTTGTTTATTCTTGCAAAGTAGAGGGGGTCAAGCAACTATTAAAGGTTAAATTGTGGACTTCCAACTAATTCCTACATGCAAATAACTATTTCGAGATAAATTTTTTTGTAATTAGGAATAACATTTGCATGCTAATTTTTGATTGAAAACCATTTTAGTATATTACTGTCATTCTTAACTTCAGATTTTTGGATTTTATAACTTTTCAAAACATGAATTTTAGAAGGCATCGTTTTTGTTTTTCGTTATTTGATTTCGGTTTTTTTTTTTTTTTTTCAAAACAGCAAACAAAAAAAAAAAATGTTTGGCAACTTGTTTAGGGGTCGTTTAATACACTTTTTATTTCTTGTTTTTATACCTTAAGTCAATCTAGAACGAAAATGCCTTGGAATATGATTCTAAGAGATTAGGATTTAGTTTTTGGTTCTTGCAGTGAATCTTGATTTTTTTTTTCTTTCTAATAAAACACGATTTCAATTGAAAATAGAAGGAAATGAAAGTGAAAAAAAAAAGGAAAGAAAAGAAATGCCAGTGGCATTTTGTTTTGTACGAAATGGTCTGCCCAACCCACCACTCCTAATGTGGTTAAAAAAAAAAATCCATCTGATCTTCACTTTATTTTGAAATTATTTGAAAATATAATGTAAATAAAATTAATACCAAATGTCACGTCAGCACATTTAACAAAAATGGTTTGACGAAATTATCAATTAGATTGATATTATCAAATGGATATAGTAGAAGGATTAATTTGTATGAATTATATTATAAAAATTAAATTTTAAATTTTGACTAAATAAAAATAAAATAATTGTATAATTTGATTTATATTTTTATTAGCAAAGTAATTATTTTGTATATAATATGTATCTCTTATTTCTTGAATATGAATTTATCGATAAAAACTTAAGGATATAAAGTATTTTGTAAATAAAAAATTGTTTCAATAATTAATGATCAGTTGTTAATAGAATACTAAATTTTTTATTTTAATAATTAAAATTTAAAATTTAACTACTTCAATTATTTAAAAAAAATTTGTCATGCTCAAATTAATTGTAAAATATTGAAGTAAAATATCTAAAAAGATATCTAAACTAATGCAACATTATTAACCTTATTTGCAAGCAAGTCCAACTTTTTCTTTTGAAAAATTAACTAACAAAGCCATCATAATCGCACTATTGTAGTCATCATTATTCATTAAAAAAGGAATTATTGACTTTTCTCCTTTTACTTGTATATTATTATTTCTCTCTCTCTTTCCCTCTCTCACACACACACACATTTCTTCTTATCCAATTTGCCATTTTGTGTTACTTTTATTACCAATATTGATTGACTTGTCTTCGGATGCTTTTCCTTTTTTTTTTTTTTCATTGCCGATGTTTTTCCGTTTAAATCCACATTATAGATCAACAAATTACTGGTAATTATTGATTAGCTTTGTTCTAATTAGTGTAGTTTCAAATAATTTTCAATTAGCATATTACTCTCCTTTAAATCCAAAAAAAAAAAAAAATTTGCCAATTTTTTTGTTAAGATGGTTTCATCTTTTCAGAAGTCAAGTTTTTTATTTTTATTTTTTCTGATAATTGATGTTAGGTAACTTATAAAAACAGGTATTTGGTTTTGAATGATAAAAATGGGTTATTGTGGTTTTATAAAATTTTGAGTGTTGGGGAGCAACATTTCATTTCCTTGATGCACTATTAACATATAAATTTTATGTTGAATCATATGATATAATTTTATTAAAAAATAAAAATAAAATTTTAAAATAAATACATAAAAAATTAAAATTTAAAAATATTTTATCATTAATAAGTTGATATTATATGTTTTTATTAATATACGTGTATAAAATTTATATATTAATATGTATTAAATATAAAATTTTAATTTAAATAAAAATAATTAAAATTATACTTAATGAATTAAAATAAGGTAAAAAAATACTCATAAGGTTATTTCAGTTTATAAAAAAAACTTACTTTTTTTATTATCAATAAAGATTAATTATTGTAAAAAAAAAATTCAGACTAAAATATTGAATACAATATATATTGATAGGAGAAATGTCTATAGGATGAAAAGATGTGTGATTGTCATTATGAAAAGAAGTAGTGAATATACAATTACAAAGCTATGAATGTATTAAATTTGCATAATTAATGTTAGATGATGACGTGTGAATTATTAACTGATAAGTAGTAGTTAAAGAAATTAAATTATTAGATTAGACGAAAGAGAAGGGAAAAGAAAAAAAATAAAAAAGTAGAAAAACCAAGAAGTCAAGAAAGCAAAAATACCTGGTATGTTGATTATTCCATGCGTCCCTGACCCACTCTTCTCTCTTTTATATATGTAACTGACGTAACCATACCATGTATTAATTAATACTAATAACAACAATAATAATCCTTAATAAAAGCAATGTGAAGAGCCAAGTTGAAAGAAGAAGATTGGGAAATCGAAGCAAGGTTGTTTTGGATCTCGAAATTAAAACCACCTAAAATATAAATAAATATTGAGCTGTTTGAAGGCAACAGAAAATGAAGACTTCTCTGAGAAGATTGCGAGGGTTTGCACTTCACAATCACAAGCACGGTGGCGAAACCAAGGACCGAAAAGATCTTCGACCTTTGCCTCAATTGGACGACCTCGCTCTCGCTTCTCAGGTCTCACACCTTTCTCTCCCTTTCTTTGCTTGCTATCATCAATTCCAAAGGTTTTTTTTCCTTTAATTTTTTTAATGAATTTTCCATGTTCATTGCGATTTCTAGTGCCACCTCCTTTTTCTAGTTTTTATTCTTTCTTTTCGTTCTTCAAACATTCGGTTAGGGTTTTCACTCTGCTTTCGGAGCTCATATTATTCATTAAGAAGTTTTTTTTATGAAACATCAATGCATTATCTATTATTCTTCTTTTCTGAAGGGAAAAAGCTCCTTTTTTGAAAAAAAAAAAAAGCTTTTTTTTTATTTAATTTCATTCACTCAATATTGTGGCTTGGAATTGTAACTGTCATAAAATTGTTCTGGCAAATAATACGTGGTGATTGTATTGTTGGGGCAAAGGTGATTTATGTATGGTTTTGTATGATTTGCAGGATATGCAGGATATGAGAGATTGCTACGACAGCTTACTTTCTGCAGCTGCAGCAACTGCAAATAGTGCTTTCGGTAATTTATTGACATGTTTCGTATGTGTTTCTGCATTTGTTGAACTTTTTGTTTATGTGTTAATGAAATAAACTTTTTGTCTTATGAAATTCATTCAAGCATGTTCTGAATCTTCATTCATGTTATGCTTTTGGAGGGCTGATCTTTTTGATATATGCTGCGTGTTCGGTTGGTTATCCATGTTATGGTTGTATAGGTATCATTAAAGCATTTCAAGCTTTTTCTATGATGGCATGATTTGTTCTTTTCTTTTCTGTTCATGTCCCAGCCCCGGAGATTGACAATCTTATAAATCTAACAGTACAGGTAGTTGCTGTAAGAATGGTGGAATTGGTTCATTGATGATATTTTATATGTTGGTTAAAGCTCAAGCATGATGATCAAATATTAATTATTTGGTCTCTAGTTTTTGGTATGGAAGATTTTATATGCCATTTTAATCTTGAAATCTCTAATATAGTCCTGTTTATTCTCAGAATTCTCAGAGTCATTGCGGGAAATGGGTGCTTGTCTTCTTGCGAAAACTGCATTAAATGATGATGAAGAAAGTGGTAAGTAGATATATACTTTTATATTGTGCAGTGTTGCCGGTTAATATGAACAAATCGCTTATGATTTTCCATGTAAACTTTACAATTGAACTCATTACCTTGCTAGTAAATAAGGTTTCTCCACCATAAATTCCCAGTTTCAAAATACTGCCTGTGTTTTAGTGTCAACTTTGATTTAAGAGATGAATCAAGTAAAATCTTACTTATTCACATTTATTATATCCAACATTTGCGATGCATCCTTATTGTTGTTACCTTCATCCTCTCAAGTTCTAGAAATATGCATTTTTTTTTCTAAATCTGTTATAGCATAGATTCTATTTTTACCCACTTTGGCACTTTCAGATAGTAGTACTTGGTTGTAGATGATCATAGTTGTTTCTTCATCAGAATGCATACTCTGTTATATGTAGCAGCAAACCATTTCCAAAAGGGATATGGAAAAATAAGTTGCTTTTATTCCTGAGCAGGTAAAGTATTACTAATGCTTGGAAAAGTACAGTATGAACTCCAGAAACTTGTTGACAGCTATGTGAGTCTTTTTTTTTTTTTGTTACATTCTGGAAGCTTTCCTAAAATTGTACGTCTTACTTCTTTACTGTTCTAATGAAATATTAGTTTGCATCCTTCAGCGGTCTCATATATTCCAGACTATCACAAGCCCATCAGAGTCCCTTCTTAATGAACTTCGAACAGTTGAGGTTTGTTCTTATGGACCGTTTCATCCAATTATTGGCAGGTTCTATTTGGTCTTTTGCTTTGCAAAATTTGGCCATTTTTTATCATTCTATAATGTGAAGATTGTCACTTTCAATTTGGTGCTTTGACTCTTCTTGTCAATGTGTGCTCAGTTAGTTGGTCGTAATTGTTTTTCTTTTAAATGTCCTTTTCTACTTTCTGGACATTTACTTATCAAGATAATGGCTAGTTATAATACTAACACTTGAAGATAAAGTGATTAGGAGTATAGTATTCTTTTAAGATTTATTAACCCACTTTTTCCTGTTAACGTGAACAATTTTGAAAGTTTGGAACCTGGAACTGAAAGAGTTAACAACAGTGGGGAAAAGAAACCTTTGTTATTTTTGTTTGGTTATTACTTTCAAGTAATAGAACTTATTCACCAATCAAAATGAAGAAATGCCCCTATGTTCCACTCCCTGTTGTCTTTAAAACATTTGAACCCCTTGGGATGAAAACCAAAATGTTTTCAAAAGGCCTACCTCTGGAAGGTTTGCTTTATATTGTAATCATTAGTTGTTTAATTTCATTCAAACATCTTAAGGGCGCAGATAAGAATCTGACATTGGATACAGGATTTATGTGAGATTCTCTGGTATCTTGACTCTGTATGTTATTATTATTTTTTTCTTTTCGGAAGCATTGGTGTATCACCATTTTCTTAGGTATTATTATGTGAATATTATCAACAAAAGCTTAAATTTTTGTTGGTGAATCACATTGTTTTAGTTACACAAGGTATTGCATTATGTATTATAGAGCCAGTTAATGATTTAAATGATGTAATATTGAGTGGCTTTTCCCCCTCTGTTGATACAGGAGATGAAGCGGCAATGTGATGAAAAAAGGTCCAACTTTTATTTATTTATCTTTTAACAAATAGGCAGACACAAAGTTCATCTTTCAAAGATAATGGCTTCTGATATTTGGTGCATTATCTACAGAAATGTGTACGAGTACATGGCAATGAGACACAAAGAAAAAGACAGATCAAAAAGTGAGAAGGGGGAGAATTTCTCCATGCAGCAATTACAAGTAGCACATGATGAATATGATGAGGAGGCAACTTTATTTGTTTTTCGATCAAAATCTCTAAAGCAAGGACAATCAAGAAGCCTTCTTACGCAAGCAGCACGACACCATGCTGCTCAGGTTTCTTTTCTTTTTTTTTTTAAAAACTTTTTAATTCCTTCTGTTGTTGTTTATTGATCTATTTCCTTTTGCTTGAAAGCAGCTGAACTTTTTTAAGAAGGCTCTTAAGTCTCTTGAAGAAGTAGAACCGCATGTGCAGAAAATCACTGAACAGCAGCATATTGATTACCACTTCAGTGGACTTGAAGATGATGAAGCAGAAAATGGTGATGATGATAACAACTATGAAAATGATGATGACGATGATGATAGTGATGACAAAGACAATGGGGATGATGGTTATGACCATGATGATGGTGAATTGAGCTTTGACTATGGACAAAATGACCAAGATCAGAACCTGGTTCCTACATCACGACACTCAATGGAGGTGACTATTTAATGTACTATTTCTTCCTTACTGAAATGAAAAATGTCATTTTTGTTGCTTCTGTGTATGCTTGTGTGTGCGTGGAATGGTTTCATTCTCCTGAGTGTTATAAAGAAAGTTCTATGGATCTCACACAGGGTTGACATGCAGAAAATAAGAATTAATTCCATTTGTGCCTCTAAATGTATTAATTCTAGAATGATTTCCATGTGATTTTTGTTTGGCTGATAATTTTCCATGTGATTTTTGCAGTTGGATCAAGTAGGCCTTACATTTCCCCAAGTTGCAATGGTGGAGGCTGCAAAGGTAAAGAACCTATTATGCTATTAATTACAGTTCACAATATGAGGCTAGATATTGCAAATTTGGGTTATGTATATGTGCACATAGAGCTGTCAAGTAAGCAGTTCCTGATAATAATTCATTCCATTAATTGCAATCCATATTATATACCCTTGATCTGCTGAAAAATGATATTGGTTTTTGATACAATGGTTTATCTTGCTCACACTTTCCCCTTTAGGAATTTACCATCAATTTTTTTGAAACTAATCATACTATTACATATCAGGTTTCACCAGACTATACAATAACCGATGCAAGTCAAATAACTGAGTCTGATTGGTCAACAGATTTATATTCATTGACATTTTCCGAACACAAAATATTGTGCTTCCACTGAAGCAACTTTTTAACCCCAAATTTTGCGTATTTTTTTGCGCCCCCCCCCCCTGCAGCAAACATCTACTTTATTGCAAGTATATTTTACTGTTCCTTATGTTACAGGAAAATCTAGAAAGAAGCCGCCGCCATTCTTTTTCATTTAGAGGGGAAATAAGAAACAGCAGCCAATCAGCCCCTCTCTTTGCTGAGAATAAATGTGGACCTTCTGAGAAAATTCAACCGTTGTTGGCACGAAAGTTCAGCTCATATGTATTACCTACACCAGTTGCTACAAAAGGTTCTATTGGCTTAGTGAAGCCAGCTCCTCGATCTTTAAAGATAGGTTTGAATGAGCATTCAAACAATTTGCGGCATTCATCTCCGCTTGAGCATAAGAAATATGAGAGGATTTTGGGAGATGAGAAAATTTCTGGATCTGCTGTTATAAATGCACAGTCAGTACTGAGAGAGAGCAGTAATCCTGCTGCTTCGACTGGACTACCCCCTCCTTTGGCTGATAGGGTTTTATTCTCCCGAGTTAGTCCAAATGCTGCCTCTGATCCCAAGAAAATCAAAAGACAAGCCTTTTCTGGTCCCTTGACAAGTAAACCATGGCCTACCAAACCTGTTTCACTGGAAAATCCCCTATTGTTCTCGGGGCCAATTTTGAGAAACCCAATGCCACAACCGCCAGCTGCATCTCCAAAAGTATCAACGAGTACTTCCCCTACTATTGTGTCCTCACCTAAAATAAGTGAACTTCATGAACTTCCTAGACCTCCAGCCAGTTCAGCTTCCAAGGCTTCAAGACCTTTAGGCTTGGTTGGTTATTCAGGCCCCTTGATGCCTAGAGGTCAAGGGCTCTCTGCTACAAATAAATCAGCGGTTTCAAGAGCTGCCTCTCCACTGCCTCAACCTCCACAGGTTGTTACTCGCAGTTTCTCCATACCCTCAAGCTCTCACAGAGTGATGTCATTACCTGTGTCCAAGCCGCTGGAAACTGCTATCAGTTCAGGGATGTCTCAAGATATTGCCTCACCTCCTTTGACACCAATATCCTTATCTCGAATCCAGCCATCATCAACTAGTTCGTAGACTGTTGATAGGTAATCAGAACACAATGCTTTTGTTTCCTTTGATCCACTCAGAAAACGTTGTTCCAAAATGATTAAAATTCCATTAAGTTGGGTGGTACTATCTGGGGAAACACTGGATGAGATGAGTTTACCAGTTGAAGGATCATTGCTCGTGCAGTTTTGTTTCTCAATATATACGTACTTTATAACTTTTCAATGCTTGTTAAAAACTGAATATGCCTTAATATGTGAAAACTTAAGCATTTGTGTTTTCAATATGAAGATCGTGAATAAAGACTGAATGCATCACAATGGTCTACAGTGGTTGGGAGTGGAATTGGATAGGTCAGATAGGTTATTCATGACATCTATGCAACTCAGAACATGTTTTACATAGTTCATATTCAGAATTCAAATATATGCTTTAAATCCAGTTAATAAATTTTCGGCTTTTTGCCTGTCCAGACCCCACATTCTATGCTCTGATACTTTTATTTCTTCAAGTTAATTAAGGTTGTGTAGCTCCTTTGATGATTTGAAGCAGTCTTGGAATTTTCATGCCATACTAGCAATCCTTTTTATGTTGTTCCTCGTAACTTTTTTTTTTTCTGGCAAGCAACAGTTTAGAAACTTTTGATGGATTAGATTGTTCCATTAGTGGTCCTCTTCTTTGGTATTATTGCTGGCATGCAAGGTCTATAGTTCAATAACATGAACAATGGTATATTATTAAGTCGTTATGTATATATTTTAATTTCTGACTATTGATATACGATTGATGCAGGAGCTGGTTGATTATATCTAATTCTAATACTGATTTCATTCCTGGCCTACGGGGGCTACGATTGTCTTAGCCATATCGTACAGGTGCAGATGCGCATATATCCTTTTCTTTAACTTTATCACTGTTATATATTTTAGCCGCTACTTGTCTATTGTGATAGACGCTCAGCATGAATCAGTCAAATACATGCCATTTGTTCCATCATTTTTGAGAAATTTTGCATTTTCTCCAAGGCATTAATAGATAATTCAATTCTTTTAGCCTATGCAAATTACTGTACTAAATAATATTTGACATTCTAGGTGGATTAATTTGTCTGATGTTGTCTTATTTTTCACAAGTTTATGACTATGTTTTTCTAACTCTTCATTTTCTTGAAATACCCATGTCATAAACTTGTGAAATATATATATATATAGAGAGAGAGAGAGAGAGAGAAAGAGAGAGAGAGAGAGAGAGAGAGCTCCAACTCTCCAACGCTCCAAATATATGAAATAACTATTAAAAAAATTGAACACACACACAAACACACACACACACATATATATATATATATATATATCCGTATTTGACACTCACCCGAGTCCAACTAGTAGAGTTTGAGGCATTCCTCCAGATCTTTGAGAAATAAAATTAGATTCAGCATTCCCTGCAAACCTAATATAATTTACTGTGCTGCTCATGTTTTAAGAATGTGTTTAGAAACTGGACTTTTATGGTGTTGTATCAAATTAAGAATAGTAAGTTTGTCAAAGAGATCTTTGAGAAACTTGTTTAAGAGCATTCGTTTCGAATGAGCATGAATAATTGGAATAGGCCAACTGAAATGTTTTTCTACAAATGTGTGCTATATTTTTCTGTCAACTATAGTCTATGAGTAAAAGGTGGAATACTGCCATTGCTAAACAAATAAGATTGCTTTTTGGTTGCAAATTTTATTTTCTTAAAGCAGAAGATAATTGGTTAGATAGGGATACATCTGGGTGATTTTGAACATCTTATTTTGATTTAATGCGCATTTACCTTGCTTGGACTGATTTATATTGGATAGATACCAACTCCTATTTAATCAAATACATTTTTGCTGTGTCCATTTTGCAATTTCTTTTATATTATAACAAATTTTGTGAAGGCATAATGTAAATCATACTAAAAAGTATATAATGAAAGCTGCTACCTCCAAACAAAACCTAAACTGTGTATGTATATGAGTGTAACGAGCCATGAGTTGTTCCCATGCCGTTCTCAATATCCAACCATTCGTTGTTGAATGAAACTAAAGCATATCCCAACGTATGTTGTAAGGATCGGATGGAGAACAGGTGAACTCAACTCCATTAGCTAGTACTCTATATAATATATATATATATATATATATATATATATATATATCTATTACAGCAAAAAGAGATACAATTTGCTTGGACATGACTTCTTAAAGATGACAAGACAAGTAGTCTTTTTAATCTTTTAGTGCTATTATTATTATTATTATTATATAACTAACCCTTGAATATAATGAGATAAATATGTGGAATCGGGTAATAGTCATTCATGTACACCCTCCTCCTGTATCATATCTCACAAACCCCACCAGCTCCGGTCCTTCCAGTCTTGAGTTGTTCGCAAAACTGCAATAAAATAAATAGATTATATAAATATATTGGCAAAAAAAGAAGAAGAAAGCATCACAGCTAGTAATTGAAGCTTTGGTAGCAGAATTGTAACTCATTCATTACCTTTCCTCTGAAAACTTAGAGAAGGAACCCGAGGTAGGGATTGTGCCACACAAATCGTTGTTTGATACGTCACTGCTCCACAACAGTGTTAAAAAATATTTAATATACATATACGAGGGGATGGGAAAATTTTGATTCAAGTATAGATGGAGGCTAAACTAAAGCCACTACTCACAGGATCTTTAGATTTCTAAGTTTTGAAAGTTGTCTTGGAATTCTTCCAGTCAGTCTGTTAGTATTCAGTCGTCTGCATGGAATATTTTGATGGATATCAACAGTGTTTGTAATGATCAACTATCTATTTATTTATTTAACTTTAAAAGAGGAAAAGGGAGGTTTACAGGAAATTGAGATTGGAGAGGTTGGAAAGTGAAGCAGGGATGGATCCAGTGAGGTTGTTGTGGTAAAGGTCCAAGCTCACTAGGCTTTTCAGTCCTCCAAGTTCCTCTGGTATGGAACCCACCAAGTTGTTCATGTACAGCTCCCTGTTATAAACCATGTAGCAACCATGTCATTTTACATTAAATTAATGCAGTGGCCTCCATTAACCATGAGAATTTTAACATCAAAATAAGCCAGCTCATGATGGGAGGGTGACAGAATCACCGGTTAATAAGTTTGGTGAGGTTAATCATAAATGTTATTTGCAGGCAAGAAAGACTTGTCACTAAACAATAACTCAGCCTCGGCATTTACTAGTGCTTATAGATCTTAACATTTATTGTAAATAAATCTGTTAGTACTAGTACTATCTTTCAATCAAGACATTTCCAAGTAGTTGGTTTAACATTTATTGTAAATAAATATGTATTTAAAACTTCCAGTCCAAGAAAATGACGTCATTGGTTACTCAATTTCTTCCTTGTTAAAATCCAAACTATATTTAGCTGCCTGCAATGCAAAGACACTGTATTGCTTACAGATATTGAAGACGCTGGAGCTTTCCCAACTCGGATACTAAACTGCCCGATAGCTTTGCATTTGCAAGGTCTCTGCACATATTGATTACTCCATTAGTTATTTCTTCTTAGTCTATATCTATAAATACAACTACTAGTGGCAGTGACTGCTACTATTTCATTTTCTTTTTCTTTATTTGAGCATGTAATAATTTGAATCATGATCACTAAAATTAAAAATTTAGCACTCTACTCTACCGACAGGGACACACCAATGTAATGTTGGCTGCTATTTCATTTTTAATTCGAATCTTGCACAACAATTTCATAAGAATGTGTCCTTTGTTTTTTTTTTTTTCCTCACAAATGGCAAATATACATTTTGGAATGGGTTATGCCTGTAGAGAGCTCAAGACTAGAATTTTTACTAGTAGGAGTATATGAGTCGTGCGGATAAAGCACAAGCCAAATTATTTTTCTTTAAATTTAATAAGAATGTTTGCTAAACAATATAGGCCAAAATATATAGAATTGCAGATTAAATTGAAACTTATATATCATTTTATAAAACTATTTGCTGGTAGATGAAGATGTCCAAGAACAGGTTTGATCCTTAATATTAATGGTCAAACAGATTGCATCAGAACTCTTGCATCTCAGCTACCTGATCAGTATTCAAAAACAGAAAAAACATTTACAATTTTATACAAGTAATAAAAGGATAAAAGAGAGAGTCTTAACAAACTTTTCAGAGCTGAAGCAAGGCAAAATACCAAAGTAATGAAGGACAAAAGAAGTAAACAACATCTACATAAAGGTATAAGATGAATGAAAAAGAAAAAGAAAATGGGGTTAAGTGATTAGTATAACGGTACTTACAGACGTGTAACTCGATTATCACCATCGCAGGTAACATGAAACCAAGTACAAGGATCCACCAATGTTGGATCCCAACTCTGCAGCACGTTTTCTGGGTCCTTCACACTTCTCCTCAAAGCATACAAAGCATCCCCTGTTCCTCCATTTACAGCCACAAACATAACATTCATGCCATTCAGAAACCGGTTTTTGAGTATAATATTAATATATATATATTTATATATATATTAATGAACAGTGCCGAAATGGAAAAATTGATAGTCTACCTTCAACGTTTGCATTTGTCGGTGCCAAAGTCATGTTTAATAGGGTAACAACAAGAACAACTTGAACGAGAGTATGGATCGCCATTAGCAACAGCGCCTAGAAGACTTAGTCAAGACGGCACGCTGATGAGTGGTATAATTTTGAGATTTCAGAGAGAGGGAAAGAGAGGGTGAGTTGGTTTGTGGAGATAAAGTTTACTTACTAGTTTGTCAAAAATAAAGCATTGGAAGGAAGCGATGAATCAAAAGCTTTGTTGGAAGAATTTATAGAGCCCATAAAAAAGGACTGCTGGCTTTGTATAAAGTGGTTAGCAACAACAACAACAACTACTACTACTACTACAAAATTGAAATTGAATGAAGTGGGCCTGTGTTGTGTCCTATCCTTTTGTTTTGTTGCTTTCACCATCTACTGCTACCCCAAAAATAACCCCTTTCTTTTTTCTTTTCAGACCATTTCTCCTCTTTCCCCTTCATCAATATGAGGAAGCAATCAGATCATCAAATGTTCATGTGGGGCAGCTTCTTTAGTGCCATGCAACGAACCCCAATTGACGCACCAAAATTTTGCTTATTTCTTTTTTTAAATATAGAAATTACAGCCGTGGTGCTGAGAGTTTGGAGGGTTCAAAATTGAAATCTATGACTTTTTAGAATTAAAAAAAAAAAAAAAAAAAACTGGCATATAGATTGCAGAGGTTGCGTGCATGAAAGAATTGGAGCGTGGGAAGAAACAGATCAGGCAAATCTTTTGAAGTCTGTCGGAGCCAAAACAAAGATTGGTGATAATAATGGAGACCCCAGGCATCCCTGGCACTGACATTTGTCTATTTTTATCGTATTTATGTTCTTCCAAGTGCTTAAAAAAGTAGAAGCAATAGCAATGTAAATTATAGTATTTATATGTTTAAAAACGCAGATATAGACAAGTTTAAAGAGCATTTGCAGAAGAGAATCATACTACGAACTTCCAAATATGTGTGTGCTCTGCCTCTTTAATTAATCAATATTTCTCTAGACATTTGACTGTCTCCGATAAAATATGTTATCTTTGCAGATTTTATTTCACCTATTTTCTTGAGTTTATTTATTATTATTATTATTATTATTATTATCATGGTTCTTAGATTCGGTATTGAGAGGCAGACGCCCTGTTTAAAAAGCAACAATTTCTTTGATAGTCAACCAAAATATTGCGTTTTGTTTTATCAAATCAAAATAATGAATAACATTATTAATTACATTCAAATGTTTATATGATATTGGGTCAAAAAAGACAATGAATGAATCATTTAAATAAGCGAAATAATAATTAAATCATAAATCATTAGCATAAGAAAAAAATGTAATGTGATTTGAAACTCAACTCAATTTATTGAAAAATAAAATAAATTATAAATATATTTAACAACTTAACATTTAGTTTCAAATACAATCAATTAATCTCGACTTAACAAACAAATAAATCGATTCGAAACAAATTTACACTTACAAAATATTCTCTTCAAATCTCATGTAATAATTTCAAATCAAACTTTCACGTTCATAAGCATTGTTAAACCAAATTGAAGGCACTTGTTACACCAATGGCGTTATACTTATAAACAATCTCCAAAATTTCAATGTCCAAAGCATTTTTAACAACATCATTGACCTCTTAATGATGCTCAAGCTCGGCTTGGTTAAAACTATTTTCAAGTTTTTCTTCAAGTTCTTTAACCTAAGCATCCTTTTCGTTCAACTCAGCATCCTTTTTCTTCGCCTTATCCTCTGATGAATCCTAAAAGATAGGTAAAACCCATAAAAAGTCTGCGAAGTCTTTTCAAAAATAAAATATTTGAAATTAGAGCATATCATTAACAAATTTTTTTATTAAAATATTATAATTATTCTATCAAAATAAAGGTTAATATAAAAATTTACTATTTATAAATATAAATTTCATATAAATTTTTAATAAATTTCACATAATTTTAAATCATAATTAATTAATCATACTATAAGTGATATATTCCCATTGAAAATGGGTATAGGTGGAAATTATTTGTAGAGAAAGAAGATGAGGAGGGGAAGAGGCAGGGAGTCAAGATTCTGCCACCAGATGACACAAAGCATGAGTAAAACCCTTGGTATTATCGTGTCCAAAATTTTTTAATTTTTTGGCGTTAAAATTTATGACTTAACTTTGACAAAGTTGGTTAGCTACCTCGGACATCTGGCTCGGCAGACTTTTTGTTAGATTTTTTAAAGTCAGTATCTAATCTTGAATAACTTACCTCTGTACAACACCTGGTCAAAAGAATTGTCACGAATTTATTCAGGACAAGTCTGAAAGAGATTTATACAAGTATCACGTCAGTTGTTCACCAGCTATTAAGAGCGGAAATGATATAATGTTTGATGAATTGCGGGTAAACATATTTGATTTTTATTTATTTGTTAAATTTAATAAATAATTATGAACAATATTTTAAAATTCATTAAATAAATAAATAAATCATAAATATAATAAACAACTTTTTGTATTTGATTCATTTGTTAATTTAAAAAATGAATATAAATAATGTTTAATTTATTAATTAAATGAACAAAATAAAATGAATTGATGCTTAAATTTATTAACACCGCTACCAGCCATTCAATTAATATTAATCTGAGAACGACCTGACACTCAGATGTTATTATATCGAATCATACCAACCTAAGGCTATATTGCATGCTGTTATCCGACCGAATCAACCTAAAGCATCGGTTACCTAGCAGCAATTACATTGGCACAAGCGTAGTTTTCTTAAGGGGAACTTGAGATGCTGACCCTACAATTCGACATAAAAATGTCACCGGAGGAATAGCTAACACCTATTTTGGTCTTAATAAGCGTCAACCTATGCACAAGCGGAATCACCTAATCTGAATCACCATACTCGTTGAAGGGGACAAAATGATGCGGATATATATCTTAGACATTAAACGCAAAATTGTCTTTTCACCAATGATGGGATATTTCAAGATTTATGGGGTACTTTGATCGTTTGATCGAGAGACATTTTGGTCATTTGACCTATCTTGTGTGGTAGATTGTTATTGACAGAAATTTTTACCATGCTCAGTCGAGATTCTCGAATCTGAGACTCTCACGATGACTGACTTAGATGAACACCTCATCTCATGCTCAATTCACCTTATCCAGTTGATGTGCCATCTTATCATTGGAGACCATTTTATTTACAGCAGGACATAGACCTTAAGGGAAAGAAGGGAGGCTTTTTAAAATCTCTTTAGCCACTAGGTTAAGACTAGGAATATTGAATATCTAATATCCCCAAATCAAAACATGATGATGATCAGTGCTCATGCTACGATATTAGAGGGAAAAAGGCACCGAAAATGTATGAATTCCTTAGCAGACTTAAGTAATATATCTTTTGCTGCAAAGGACAGAGATAATGCTTGTGAACATTGTGTGAGTGTGACTTGTGATAACTCAGAATGCATGGTGATATTAGAACAAGGGTGGCATCAAACGTTATTACCAATTCCGTTTTCTTCGCTGTACTTCAGTTTTTATTGTCCTTTTGTGGGTGCCCAACTAGTTGAAAATTTAATTGGTTAAAGTTCAAACTTCAAAGTAAGCAGATGACAGAACCTTGTCAAATGGTCCCTTTGGTTTACGCTTTGATAGGGGACGATTTCAGAAGGGGATGCAATGCAACTGAGAGGGATGGGGACGGGGGAGCAATTATTGAGGAAAATTTGTGAGAGATTCAAGAGTTGTAGCTGGGTTGGATGCATGGAGGTAGAAAGGGTGATTAGTGGCATGTGAATCTCGTCTTTTAATGTTTTGATGATGGAATTACTGGTTTTAGGGGTCCATTTGTTGGAGAGTTTTGACTTCACTTTGGGCTGCTGAGCATGTGCTAACTTGTGTTGGGTTTCGTTTTGCCTTGGAGCTTCATGATTACATTAGTGGGTGAGGACACGACACCCACAAAATAACCTTTTGAATCTTGGGTTAGATAAAGATTACATATGGATATGATTACCACTTTCTTCTTAAAAGGAGTGACTTGACTAAGCCAAATTAAAGCACCAACATTTGCATCATCCTTTCTTCCTTTCATCATTGATTTGGAAAAAGTTGGAACAAATTGTAAAAGCCATGGCCTTAATCTTCTTCTACCACAAAGTGACCGAAAAAGCTTTCCATACGGACCACTGATTGTATAATCACTACCACACGAACATCTTTTGATGCTTTTGCAGACAAATATACATTGACCATTGACTATAAATTACCTGTTGACTTGAAGTTTAAAAACAGTATCTAGAAAATTAAATGGTTGCTAGATTGGCAAAATTTGCGCTTCAATTTGGAGAACAAAATGAAATCCTGAAAAAAGGTGAACTGAGGTCAGATAGGCGAAGATGAACACGATCATCATGGTTTTGCATAAAGGAAGCAGGAGCAAGGGTCGAAAGGATCCTTTCATTATGCAAATTGTAAACTGTCAAGTTCCCCACTGCTTTCTTTTCCCTCCATATTCAAATTAAAGCTTGGGTTTCCTAGCTAGTTGTCGGGGCCATCAAGTGATCCACAAATTTCTTCTTATCTTGTATTATATTTGGTCAAATGCAACGAAAACCAGAATGGGAGAGAGATAAGGGTCATTATTACTCCATTGGTCGTGGGATATTCTTAAACAACTTAATATGACATTTTAGATGCCGTTTTGTTAAATTTTAAACATACATTTAATTTAAAATCAAATGACAATAAATAAAAGAGTAGGTTTTTGTTATATCTATATGTTCAGAGTTCTCTTGATAATAATTGATGTAAGATTCACTTGAACTTGAATATATAATAAAGATAATTTTCAGCTTGATTACTTGAAAACCTAAAGGATAAAAATCAAACCCAACATCTTTAGTAAGTTCATTACTGACATTTGAAATCTAAAGTCAACATTAAGGCAACCATGGATGACATTTGATCTGAGTAGCATCAATGCCTCTTAACATTGAATTCCTCGATCAGATATACAATCAGGACAGTCAACCATCCCCAACCAGATAGCATCAAGCCCATCAGACTTGCTAGTTCCCATGAGAATGTCATTTGGTAAATCAATTAGTATCTATAACAAATTTTCATTTGATGGTTGTATAAGTGATATTTTGATTTGAAATTATTAATAATCTTATATGAGTAATGTTATACTTTGATATTATTTTAGTTATGGTTTTAATCATGAATATCCCGATAAGATAATATTGGCCACAACATGAGATATATGAAGAGGAAGATATATTAGTAATGAATATAAGATTTATCATTTTTAAATAATCAAGAGAATATCTTAATTAATCTTAGCAAGGTTAACTCAAAGATATCTCTAACCAAAGTGAAATGAAGTTTTGTAATTATTCTAAAGCTTTCGAAGAATTAATTACTTAACTCGAGATTTAAAATGATTAAATTAATTGAATAGACACTAATTTATAATCAAAAGTTAAATTAAGATATTAAGTGATGAAAGCCTAAGAATTATACTAAAATGCTAAGGACACATAAGTTGTTTAAATCTTATTGACTTTTCTTAACAATTGAGAATGATTACTTATTATTAAATGACAATTATGATCTCTAAATATAAAAGTAATTAATCAGAGAATAAATAATCAATTCAAAAAGTTTGATTCATATTTCTAATCCAATTCAATTTCGAATTATAATCTTCATATTTATTGTCTACATGTTAAAAAATTTAATGAGTTACACACGTAAAAAAACGTGCAAATAAATTAAAAGGAATTGCCAAAGGCCCAAAACCTATTGAGAAGAGATCACGACCCACCATTCTATATAAACAACGTTATGTCGTCCCCCTCTATGGTTATTCATTCCATCGCATGTGTTGAGAGAAACTTAAAAAAACCTAGAGATGCAATCATTATTGTTACTAGTATAGTAATAGGCATATATTTTTCCCATTCTTGTTGAAGGTTTTTAAAATTTTTTTTTCATGTGGATTATCACTTAAAGCTTGAACACAATAGTTGTTGATTTGCTATAATCTAACTTGGTATTCTTGGAAAATTTCCCGAATTAATTAAAAGAGATAAACATGGTTCTGCTCTTGATGTTTTGATATATATGATTACATAACAATTTATCAATGAGATCCTTTATTTTAAGAATTGAAAATTTTTAAATTTCATTACATTATACTTGTTCTTGCTCGATAATTCCAATGGGCAAAAATTCTCATATTATATGACTTATTTAACTTATCCAAAAGAAAAAAAAAAATCCCATATCATATAACAGCTGTCTGGTGTTGATACAAAGGTAGTAGTGTATCTCCCATATGCCATATCTTCTGTTCCTCAATTACTTTTACTCACAGCCCTGGGATCTTGTATTATTGTTGTCACAGCAAATCCTGTAACGAGGGCAAAAAATGTTAAAAATAAGTAGTGATAGTGGATCCTCTGGCTATAGCCTATAGCCGTTAAGATAAAAGAATTAATCAGTATGAAGCTACCGTCAACCATAAGCGTTTTGGCTAATAAAATCTTAAATTAATTGTGGATTAATAACTAGTGACGTTAGGCATTTTTGAAAAACTAGAGTAGATCAATTTTATCATGCAATTCCGAATCTAATTCTTTTCTTTTAATATTATAATAATATTATTATTATATATAACAACTCAATTATTTGGAAAATATTTAAAACTGAAAAACTTGGGCTTAGCCCATTAGAAGCCCAACAGATGAATTGAATTAATTAAATAACCAAAAATAAAAAATAAAAATAAAAGGACAAAAAAATATATAATCCACTATATTAATATTACTGTAACTCTACCTGTAAGATTTGTGCGGTGGACGGTCCCTGCCAACATATTGTCTGATACGTTCCTGATAGCCAAAAATTCAGAAATGAACAACAGTTCCTTAATTGATTCATAACCATCGACCTCATCTAATTTACATGGAATTAGTGAAAGATTACTTAGAAAAAAAAAAAAAAAGACTAAATCGCCATGAATCATAAACCTTGCTTATGGTTAGATCTGAAAATCAGTTGGAGATAAGCATTTCCCCAATGCACTAGTGCTAAATTTGAGCCAAAAATAGGCTTTGGATTTAATCGAAAATAATTAGAATACATAGAAAAGCAAGTTAAGGTCGTGCAAAACTCACATAACCCTCAATTTGCCAACTTGAATAAGATGAATTACTTCTGTGGGAATTGTTCCGCTTAAGTTATTGCTATTCAACCTCCTGTGGACAGTAATAGTTACATGAGGCTTGATATATATGAAAAACAGAGAAAATCATTTTTCTTTTTTGATTTTTCAGGAAAAGGTCAATGATAATGGGAAGCAATAATGCATTCTTGATAAGTAGAATAAGTATAAACTTACATGAATGACAAAGAAACCAGGTTTCCAAGAGAAGCAGGTATAGGGCCAGAAAGTTGATTATGGTTCAAACCCAAGCTGACAAGGTTAGTTAAATTACCAATCTCCGTTGGAATGCCCCCGCTGATATTATTGCCAAATACCTCCCTACGACCAAGAAAGAAAAGCAAAGTGATCAATGGGGTTTGGCTGCAAGAACCCTGGTTTTTCCATTACCATCACCGCGTATAAAATCCAGAAAAAGAAAAAGAAATTAAATACTAGGTCTTACAAAAATTGAAGATTTGGAAGAAGTCCAAGCTCTGGAACAAGGGGTCCTGATAGTCCCGCATTGCCCAGGTCCCTTCAAGAATCAAATCCAATTTTAAGTGACTATATAGAAATTAAAGTTGCATACACGGGAGCTGATGAGTTGCGAGTTGAGAGAGATGTATACATACACCCTTGTGACAGAGTTTTCGCTGTTGCAAGTGATGTGAAACCAGGTGCAAGGGTTAACGAGGGTAGGGTCCCAGCCCTGAAGAACATTGTTTGGATCGACCAATTTGGTTTTCCAGGCATGGAGAGCATCACCTAAATGTCCAATGTATAATCAATATAATTAGAGGCAGTAAGAGAGGCTAACATTAATTCTTTCGTTCAAATTCAAGGTCTCTGTTCGGAAACAAGCATTAAAATCCAAATTTGCCCATGGTGACAACAATGAAGTTGATATAAAATAAAAGGAAAATCAAATCAAATCAAATACTAGCATATAATTAAAACAAAGCTCAGCATTAATTATAGAACTCAGGAATCCCAGCGAGGTTTTTAGAATAGTACCTTCCGAATTGCAATCTACAACTACAACAATATTTATAACTGCAAACAAGATGAGGCAAACTAGAATCTTGGAAGCCATAACGATTGCAATCAATTGTACAAGTAACTTGAAGAAAGAGATCCCTTTGAGTCTGACCACAGGTTGCTTTTAGTAATTTAGTCTATACTACAAATCTTTCAAGCAAAATATATGGGTAATGAGGAAGTTAGGTGAGGATCAGACAGAAATTGCCGAGAAACCAAGGTTGACAAATCAAATAATAGTATTTAAATTATGAAAATGAGTTTGGGAAGAAAATCTGCCATTGCCGGCTTTCCTGTTCTGAATTTTGAACAATTCCAAGAACTTTAAGTTCATAACGAAAAGTCTTGCTAGTTTTTATTATTATTCAGAATCGCGTTTCAGTCATAATTGGACCCTATCTGAACTACTAGAAGGATTGGTCCTTGACTCATTCAAAGAGTGAACAAATTTTTTTTAAAATTTTTTGGTATTTGAAGTTGTAAAAATTAGTACACAATTATTAAAAATGTGAACAAATTTAAAACAAATCAACAATTATTTAAATACATGCGAAAAAATGAAACAAACTAGTTTATCACAAATTAAAAAAAAAAAAAAAAGAGCGAAAGAAAAAATTACTCCCTTTCTACTTTTTCTTTATTTGGTTGGGAAAAGAAAAAAGACAAAAAGACCGAATGAATTTGTACTTTTTTTTTTCTAAATTCAGTCTTTCTAAACGTAAGAGAAAACACATTTAATTGAAATTAATAATTTTAATTATAATTTTACCCCTAACATCTTTTTTTTTCTTTAATCTTTATTTTGTATTCTAAATATAATGATAAAGGTATTTGAAAAAATATCAAAGACATAATTTCGAGTCATATTTAAGAACAACAAAATGAATAGTTTTTCTACAATGGATATGATATTTTGCCAAAACCGCAGGTCCATTCCGTTTACCAAATTTTATGATGGAAAATTTTGAAGCCATGCATATTCGCAAAGCAAAACCTTTTCTGATTTATTGATTAAAGACCTGAGCAATGAACAGGAATTTTTGAAGCTTGACTTAAGCCAAGTTTATCAAGCTAAGCCTCAACTGTCTACTGCACTTTTTAAATCAGCTCCATCCATTCAATGCGGAATTTCTAACTAGTAGAGAGAGAGAAGCACATCAAGCCATGACCTTGAGTTGCGGGCCAAAAATCAGAGAATCAAGCCCATATTTTGATTCAGACCCTCAAAGAGCATCAAGACAAGCTACAAGCCCAATAGCCCAAACACTCTCCGCCCGTGCTGCTTTTGCCTACCACGATTATTGAAAATCAAAACGCCCCTCTGTGGCATTGCGGAGTCGGGAAAACATACCTTGGTGTTTTCTTCTTCTCCTTGTAACGTTGCAATGATAGCATTGCCTCTGTTCTGTGCCAGCAACTCAAGTCTCAAGATCAGCTTTGCTAGGTACTGCTGGCCTTGCTTGGTTAAAACTGAATTGAACATCGTTACAACTGCTAGAGCCTTTTGGTTTACCAAAAGCTGAACCTGATGATTTCTTTGCTATTGATAGGTCGTTGCTCTCAGCTGTGGTTGGTCTAATCCCTGAAATAGCTGCGAGATAATTGCTTTATTTGTTCTGCGTTTTTCAAGCACCATAATCAATACTCGAAAAGCCTTTAATGTTGGCAAACAAAGCTACCCATACTGCATCTATGAGAGGAGATTGCTGAGTCATATTTGCAACAATTTCCAATCAAAATTCTAATTGTTCTGATCTGATCCTACATACATCAAACAAAGAGAACCTAGGGCAAATAAACTACCTACAGGATCCTTCAAACAGTAATGTCAATAAAGGAAATTGGTTGGGTTTATGCTGGCTTCCATATCTCAAATTCAAAGAACTAATCCTTCCCATATTTCTTATCCACATGTTAAATTTTCAGAAACTCCAATAATGGATCTATATTTGATGTCTACATATGAAGTGCTTTTCGATCAATTATCCAAAACTATAAGAAAAGCAAGTTATATATAACATGACAAATTTTAAAACGTGATAAATTATAAATCAAGCAAGTAAAAAAGGAACAGTGTCTCTCTAAAACCAATCACCAACCGTCCAGTTAGAAGGTACTATAGATAATGCACTTTGCCGATACCAGTATATCTATCCGTTGGAAAGTATTAAATTCTTAATTCTAATAAACAATAATCAGAATTCAATCTCTGATATGTTCAAATACAAAATAATAATAATAATAATAATAATAATAATACACTTTGCGTCACCAAATGAACAAAAAGTATACTGCAAGCACAACAAAAAACAGTGAAAACAATAAGTAAATTTCAAATCAACATAAGTATGAAATTTACAACTAAAACAAACGGTTATGGGAAAAAATCACAAGAGATATTAATAAGAAGAGTGAAAATAATTAAATAATGAGGAGCATACATTATTGATTGAAGCCATGTCGTCTTGTGACTAAGGGTAGTTGATGTGGCACGTATCTCCCACCAATTTAGCATTACTCAAAGACGTCTCTCTGCCTGGCTACCCTCTTCCTCACCCCTCAATTGCCCTATCTTAAATCCCACATCTGTAACAAATTCTAATCAATTTACCGTTACTATTTAAAATTCTACTGCTACAAAGGATTTTCATAAAAAATAATAAATAAAAAAAAAATCAAATACCTGAGGAGCTTGACCATTTGGATTACCATTCCGCAACATCGCTCTCTTGCTTTTGCATCACACGCAAACAAGTAAAGTCTTGCATTTGATATAATATTTGAATATTAGATATTGATATTAGTTTAATATCATGATTTAAAATAAAAAAATATTTATTATTATTATACTATGAATATGATTATATGATTGATGATTACGGATTTAAAACCTTTATACATAGATATATGGTGGTTAAATTTAGTTTTATGATATTTCTTTTGAAACAAGCTTCCATGCTTTGTCTCATCTCTTAATTTTGAATTATAACATTCTTTTCTTATCTTACTCCCCTTGGATATAACTTAAGGGAGTTCTTTAAATAATATAATAGTTACATAAGTTAGAGTTAAGATAAAAATTAAGTTGTAAGTCCAAAACAGGAGATTTAAATCATTATAAAGGTGTCGAGGTGATTCAATAAGATGACTTTGGAAGTCTAATCATTGCGATCCTTAGATAAATATGCATGCCAGATATATATATTTGATATATGATAAATACTACGTATGTCAAATTAATATGTATGCTACATATATATATATATATATATATGTTTGATATATGATAAATGCCATATATGTTTAATAAGCATGAAAAGATTGTGCATATATGATATATGATAAAATCTTTGCATGCTAAATGAGAACTAAATCAAATTAAAAATCCTTTATAAAACATTAAGTTTATATTTTCAACATGATAAGCTGCCTTCCATTTGACATAACATAAATAAATGTCTCTACCAATAATGCTTGTTGAGTAAACTAGAGTCACTCATTGTTTTGAACATGTTTATGTTAAGACTAATGGGTCTTACTTAACTAACTTATATGATTTGGATAGGTAAATTCATTATCACATGAAGTTAGAGGTAAGGATTAGGTAAATCACATAAGATGTCATTTGACAAGGAATTGTCACCTAATTAATCTAAGAGTCATACTAGATGCAATTGGTAAGTAAAGTTATCTATTTATTTACTTATCATAACTTGTTGGCTACACTTAAGATTGTGGTAAACTAAATGGGATCTTAGCTTATTAAAAAAATTAAATTTTTTCAATTAGAAATGTGGGCTATTAATTTTAAAAAAATAGTGGGAGAAACTACCTACTAAATTTAGATTTTATCTATATTGGTTTTAAACAATATAACAAATACTTGATCATATTTTACAAATTTTTAAAAAATAAATAATAATTTGTCACTTTGAAACATACTTGACGTTAATAAGCACACTGGACGTAAATTTAACAATTGATTCATAAATCTAAATCTTGTCCTAAACCAAAGCTTTTTTTTTTCTTCCTTTTTTAACTCATTGGTATCTATAATCTTATTCCTTACAAATATGGTAATATTATTTGTCAAATATCCATTTATTTTATTTGTTTATATTGATTGTTATTGTTCTTTTTATTTTTTTATTATTTTTTATTAAAATAAGTGTTGATGGAAAGATGTTGAATTGCATCCATTAAAAGATATTATCCGCTTTGAAAGCTTTTTTATAAAATTACAAGTAAAAAAAAGTTATAATCATAATTAAATATTATATTCATATATAAAAAATCATTGAATAATCAATCAATAAAATTAAAATATAATTAGATAAATCAAATATAAAATTGAACCAAACTCATACACAATAAAATTTAAACTTAAAATCTCAAGATTATAATATCTCTTTCCTCACCACTAAACCATAGCCTTATTAATATAAGCTTTGAAAGCCTAATAACATGGTTTCACGATTTTATTCTTCAAAAAAGGAGTCCCAGGAGGTGAAGGATAAGTTATGTTTACTTAGATCTTTTTCTCTCAACTTTAGCCCTTAATTAAGAATGTGAATTATGCTTTTTCTAAGAACCAGTTGGACAACATTTTATAAGGTATTATATGTTTTAAGAATATGAGGATTTGCTCTCACGATTTTATTTTTTTGAAAAAAAAAAATTAGATAAGAAAAAGATAAGCCCTTCTTTATAAGCAACGGTCCGATCCTTGACTTTAAAAATGGATCTTTCCTCTCGACAATTACGAAAAGATTTTGTATTCATTTGCTAAAACAGAAAAGAAAATATTCATTTTCTATTCCATTTAATGGTTAAAACGTGGCACACAACAATAGGAAAGAGATAATTAGATTTTTTTTCTTTTAAATTTTGCTTTAGAGGTTAAGTAGACTTTGGGGAAGAATCTTGTTTGTTTTTCTTCAACATTATGTTGGAAATAATCATTGCTTCAAGAGAAACTGTTCAATTTGGCAGTGCCCATAAGTCAGACTCTGAATGAGTAACAAGAATAATTACAAGTTGAAAGTTAATTAAGGCAGGCCATGGAAATTTGTGAAAAAAATCGCGCCCTACTTATCATGTCTAGAAATTAGAACCCTAAATTGAGTGTAAGAATAGTGATTAATGAAAATGATGTGCACAAAGTATGAAATGCAGCCTCCCCTACATTTGCAATCCTATCAGTTTGATTTTCCACAAAGAAACAAGAACTGTTACAGCTACTTGATTTGGGATGCGGGAGGACCGACTTTGAAGAGAAATGACAAGAAAAACTTGTAAGCTACTTGCTATAGTAATTAGGAAACGTGAATCCATTTAATATTTGCAGGCCAGAAAAAAAATATAAAAGTCACCACAAAAATTTTCCATGCTATATCTATATTCTAGTATAATCCATATTTTCCCTTTTGGAGTATCTTGTTTACAGTAATACTTAAGGTTGATGAAAATAATAATGGACAGATCCATAAAATGCTTGAGAAGGAGGTGAATGGTAGGAGAAAACTAAGAAAAGAATAGTGCACATCGGCATAAATTCCATGTACTGATGATGCGCTAGGTCAATACAAGTGTTCTGATACACAGAGAAATTAGAATACTTAGAATAAAGCATGTCTGGGGAAAAAAAAATGAAACTAACGATAATAAAAGCCACACGTCGCAATCATCATCAATATTATTCTCTCTTTCTTTTACCATTAACCTCAACTCAGCTCCGGCTGGGACTTCAATGGCGCCCAAAACAAACGCAAAACATAAAGGGAGAAAAAGAAGTAATAATTCATTTGTCTAATATGCCATCATTCCACACCTCAAAATCTTTCAAATTCAAAAATATAAAAATAAAAAAAAAAGCTGGATCATGAATAAAGCAAGCTAATTAAGAAGATTGGAAAAGGGAGAAAAAAAACTAAAAAGAGAAAAGGAGACAGAGGATTCATGGACAACTACTTTCGGATCGATCAAAGTGAAGAAGTTGACCATTACATTTGGGGCAATCTTCGACTTGCTTGGGGACCATGAAATACATAAGACAGCTCTTGCAACCAGCCACAACCAAGACATTATCTTTGCCTTTCTCTGACCGATGTTGGCTGTTGTTCCTGTTGTTGTTATTACTGTAATGTCCTCTCTCTCTTGAAGAAGGAGATGACTCCGATGGTGACCCCTCACTGTCACATGATCTATCATCATCGTCTTCTTCTTCCTCCTCTTCTTCTGAGTAGAAATCTCCACTGTAATCAGCTGCTGTCCTTGGATCCTCCCTTGCTTTCATTCCATTCCTCCAGTTTATGTAGTAAATCTCCCCTGTCTGCCACATACCCCCCAGAACACCCCCATCAAACAGTAACATTGTAGCATCAATAAACCGGAACAAAGTACAAAAATCTTTCAAGTTTTAGAATGTGAAAACTAGCTGCATACCTATAACGTACCATCCTAAGATATATTGCTATCACATGAATCAGGCCAACTAGAATGAGTCTTTTTACCTCTTTTCATTTCGTTTTGCAAAAAAAAAAAAAAAACAATAAAGACATCACATATTCACACGAACTTTCAAAAATTACAATAAACCCCTCAAAACAGCTTAATTGCTTTTCCTTCATGATTTAACAAAATTCATCCCAAAGGGAATTTATCTGGGTTTCAAGTGTTAAAGGTGTCCCCTTTCTTTTTCAATTCTAACCCCACAAGGAGGGATAAGCCGTAAATCAAAAGAGGTGAAAGAAATGGGACAAAGAGAAAAGCAAAAGGAAGGTTATTCTTTTATTAGGGTTATGGTCTGAAACCCTACGGTTAGTCGCTTAGCATGTGTGTAGGAGAAAGGGAGACCATCAGGGAAGCAATAAATACAAGAACAATGAAGAAAAAGCCATTAAGGAACAAAAGCCAAAAATACACAACAAAGGAAAGAGCAAGATCTGCCATGGGTTTCGCATTAATTGCGTCTGAAATACGAAAAGGACTAAAAACTGTTGTAACCAATTCAAATAATGATAGAAGAGAAAAATAAACAAAAGAAAAGAAAACAAGTAATACTAACAAAAACAAAACAAAACAAAAGAAAGAACCTTTAGATCAAGGCATTGTTCCCAATGGTAAGGAAGAGAGAGATGGGAGTTGAGCTCCAAGCTAGTGTCAGAACCGGTGTTTGGAAGGTTGTTATCATCTGATGTCAAAGACCTCCCTATTATCCCTTCTTCAACGCCACCTCCGCTGCTGCTGCTTCTTCTTTCTTGGTTCAAAGAACAGTTTTGTAAAGACCTCTCCAAAGATTCTGTGATCGTTGCCATGTTTGGTGCTGTCATTACTAATCCAAAAGTCCCACCAAAAAAACAAGAAACGATGACAAATTGAAAGAAGGGAGAAGAAAAAGAAAGAGAGAGAGAGATTAGGAGAGGTCGGATTTTGAAGAGAATACTTATGGAGACCATAAAATAAGGGAGGGGAAAGAAGGGTTTGTTTGTGTTTGAGAGATGATAACTAATAAGAATTCTCTCTTTTTTTTTTTTTTTTTTTGAATCTGATAATAAGAATTCTTCTTGGGTGGGTCGAACTAGAAACACAAAGACTCACGCTCCATTGTAAGTGCGCGTGGGAATATAGGACATAAACCCTGGGTGGGCCCACATCTGTCTGCACCCACGTCTGTGCATTGGCGTTTAAAAGCTCATAAAGGCGCAGTGGAGGCGCGTGACACCAAACAGTAATGCTCCCCCGGCCCGTTCCGCCTCTCATTACTGAAAAAAGTAAAAAAGTGAAAAAGGCTTAGGCTCGGGGAAACCTTTGGTGGGGTTAAAAATTTTTCAAAAGCAAGATTTTTTTTTATTTTTTATTTTTTTAGAAAGAAGAGATATCTAAGTTAAAAATGATGTTACCAAAAAGAATGCTGGAACTTTATTTATCAGTTTCTGGATTTTGAATGAGAAAAAAGAATCCATAAGTTTTCTATACATGACAATTTTTTTATTTTTTTGGTTTTAGTTAGTTTTAAAATGTGAGAAAATATGAATTACTTTTTGGGTTGAATTTTATTTGAGAGAATTTATTGTTGTATAAATTTTTAGGCATAACAACTGTTATTTTTTTATATTTAATGGATTTTGTGGTGTGAGAAAATGAAGTTTTTTTTTAGTTGGATTCTATTTGAGAGAATATTATTGTATATGGGTTTCTTTTAGATGCTTTTATAAAATTGTTTTATTTGATACATAAAATAAAATTGTAATATTAGTTTCTAATTTTTCATCAAATTAGAATTTTTTTTTATATGTGTAACTTTTAATTTTTTTATTTGATACATAAATACAGATATAATGCACTTACATACTTTTAATTTGATTTAAAAATATCTTTAATTCTGTTTTTATAATAATTTTTTAAAAAAATTATTGACCTCAACCATCCCAATCAAAATGGCGCTGCAACACTAGCATATATATATATATATATATATATATAAAAGTTGGGTGGAATTCTTCTGCTCCTCACTTGCTTTTTGGACGCGCAAAGTTGTTTCTGCCGTTGAAAAAATCCTAGCTTCAAAGAACGCAAAGCCAGGCTGTTTGTGAAAAGCCCCAATTCATTTATTTGGGGCTTTCAAGATTAGGATAAATTTTGATGAGAAAAGTAAGGGAAACATCTATGAAGTTGAGCAATCTAATTTAACTTTTTTTGTAATATAGATGTAAATTGGAGTCCAAGTTCAAGATTTCAAGCAAATCTAAATTTCAGATAAATTTGTAAACTCTTATCCAAATTGATAATATATGCTATTGAACTGATTGATGTGTTACGCTTATAATTATAACACTTGGGCAAAAGTCAAACAATTTAAAAAAACATTTAAAAGTCAAATCCCCAATTTGCAAAAGCTTGCGTGAATTATTTTCGCCAAGTATTGAACCTTTAATTGCATCATTTTAATCGCATGTAGACAAGTTTCGCCAAATATTGTACAATTAAATGTGAAACATTTAAGAATTTGTTTGGTTTAGAGGGAAAGAAGAATGAAGAAAAGATGATAGAATGAAAAATTATTAGTATTGCTCCGGCAAATCAATGGCATTTCCAATCCTTCTATGGAACATTGGAGAATTTTATTTTTCAAAAGAAAAAGATGTACTCAACTTGGCCCTGTTCAATGATTCGATGATTTTGAAAATTTTTTTTAGTTACTTCTAATAGGAATGATTTACCACATAAAAAAAATTTATAATCCATGTGTAACATAAAAACAAACTCATCAAGCGAAGCAACAGTAGTTAAGGCGAATTGGGGTGAACTGAAATTTAATGATGATCTCAATCATAGACACAAGTTAAATGGACAAAAATGTAAGGCAAGAAAGCACAAGTGAATCTGTGAATGAGTATTGATTCATGAATGGTTTTGACAGCGGAAGAGTTATAAATGGACAAAGAGAAACGGACGAGCATGTATAGTAAGAGTCGACAGGGCGAATGTATTGGGGGAGACGCCCCTGGGAAAAAACAAAAATTTTTTTGCTAGTTTTAACATTTGCAAAGTAGTATCATAGATTAATGTTCACGAGATGGGATGATGGAATTTGGATGGGGCCGTTCGCTGGCTGGCCGGCCACTGCTGTGTTTGAATACGAATTCTTGTAGTAGAGGCCCATTACCAATCGTATTTTTCCTGATGTGGAATCTCTTCTGAACTATCTTCAGTCCCTGACACCATTTGCCATTTGCCATTTGCCATAGCCAGCCCTTTTCTCTCTCTCTCTCTCTCTCTCTCTCTGCACCCCTGCACTGCACAAATATTCCCTTCTAGTCTGCCTTACCCAGCTGTGCTTCTTGGGATTTATCATTTTTTTGTATTTGCATTCTCTGCATATTGCTGTTAAGTAGAATTTTTTGGCCAACTTCAAATTTTAAATTTTCAAGACAGTTATCTCCAACAAAATTTAAATTTCAAAGCAGTTGTTGTTATACACTTGTATTTTGATTTTCTTTTATTTTTAAAAAAGAAAAAAAAAGATTATTCTTCTGTTCTTGCTCAAAAAAAAAAAGATTTTCTTTCCTCTTCACTTTTTTAAGAGAGAAACAAATATAAACTTTATTTAAATTAAAGAATAAGGTTTTGTCCATGTCCGATTTGCGAGTTTCCCTATTCATTCCCTGCACCTTAAGTGATGATGATGGATTTAATTTAATCTTTCAGAACACGAAGGAGACATTCCCTAGTGGTTTCGGCATGCTTCATGCCAATGCCTCTGCCTAGGCATTTTGGTTCAATATTTCTTTAATTATTTTATTGGAAGGAATGTCTTAATGCTTCCTTTCCAATTTAACATCTTTTCTCTCGGATATCCTGCTTATTCTATTACCATAATAATTAATACATGAGATGAAGAGTAGCAGCCAGAGAAAAAGAAAAGATGTAACTCAAGGCCCAAATAGAACAATGGGTTTACGAAGTCCAATTAAGTATGTGGAATTCAATGGAGATAGGGGTAGCTCGGGATGAGCGTTTCTTAAACAATCTGTTTGAGGTCTAATTAATATGATAAACAGCTCGGAGATTTAACTTTAAAAAAAAAAAAAAAGAAGTGCTCGAGCAAAGGCTATATTGGAATGTAGAATGTTGTTTGGGGTAATTGAAGATGGAAGAATTCTCCAGCTCAAAAAGTTCATGAAATTTCTAATTAATGTGGAATTGGTGGAGATTCTAGACTCATTTTTCTCATAGGATGGTGGCCACACAGGAGCCGTTCATGGAATTGTCAAGGGCTTGGCAACTCTCGGCAAGTCAAACTTGGAGCTAATGCAGAAATATCGTCCCTCCGTTGTTTTTCAAATAGATGGTACTAAACAAATAAACAATTTCAAAAACAAAAAGCGTGAGGAATCGTTTTTTTGGACTAAATAACAGTGAAATCAGACCAAACAATGGTCCTCAGCTTAAGCCATGTCAACTGTCTCTTGCTTTTTGGACTAAATAACATTTTTGTCACCCAATATGAATAAGGAAGAAGCCGCAGCCCGCAAGCCTAAAGCTTTTGCTTTATGATTTCCACCCATTTTTTTTCCTATTGAAAGAGAAATAAGAATGACCAGCTACTGAAAAATTTTCGTTGTCTCTATCTCCAAAGCACATTTTAAGCTTGCGGTGAAATGGCTTATTACATAATCATGTGTTCCAGTGCGACAATACTACTGCCAAGCACAAGCACCTTTAGCCTTTGCTCGATACTATGAATAGAAAAATGAAAATTAAGGTAAAAAATTTGAAGATAAGAAAAGTGGAAAGATGACAAATAGAATTTTTTTTTTCATTGGTTTGCTCGGTAAGAAAGATGAAAAAGCTGAAAAGAATTGTAATTTTCTTTTTATCCATTACTTGATAAAGTTGAAAATAAAATTATATAATTTTACTATTATAACATTTTAAATTAAGATAAAAAAAATGTTAAAATGATAGATAATTTTATAAATATGCAACACTTATTTGCACTTCTCTCATTTTCGCTCCTTTATTATTATTATTTTTTATTTAGAAACTTTTAAAGTAGAATGTTATAAATTGTTTCCATGAATTTGATAGATTATTTGCATCTCATTTAATAAATTATAAATAAAGAAGTTAATTCTCAATTATAAATTAACATATATATGATTAAATAATCATGCGACAAATTTAAAATACAATGTGAAAGCACTAAATAAAGTCAAGTACATAGATGAATAAATCATAACCAAATAAATATAAATTAATATTAAAAAATTTATTTGAATTATTTCATCGAGTAGGCTTTTGTCATATACATGAACATCTTAACACATAAACATTATAATTTTTAAACTACAACTTACTTTGTATCTTAATAATAAGAAAAAAGTAATAACAATGTTACCTTAGTTGAACTAAACTGAAAAGAATTTTAATAACATTTGAAGATTTCTTTAATTATTTTAATTTAAAACAAAGAAAAGAAATTCAAAGTTATCAAATTAGTCGTGCTTTTGGATAGTATTATAGAGAAATTATTAGTAACTAATAAACCGGATCCACTCAAAATTTTTTAAATAATAATAATAATAATCGGGGTCTAAGTTCTTATATTGAATTGTAATTTTTTTTTATATTAACTATAATAACAAATTGCTTTTAGGCAACAAAATCAAATCTATTTTTTATTATATTTTAAACTTCGCTAAGTACACAAGTTGAAATATCTGTGTATTTTCCTTTGCGTCATGATGAGTATATTAAAGTTTAATTATTTTATAGTATTACCTTTTTCAACTTATCAATCGCGTTCATAAAAATATTCCAAATGAGTTAAATATTAATTTTTATAATTTTTCATTAAATAATGTAAACTAAGACTATTAAAAACAATGCATTGCTTTAAATTCTTATATATTAAGAATGTTTAATCCTATTCTCAATTATCAAACCAATTAAGTTCTAAATGATACAAACAAAAGAATTCCTAACAAATTTACCTCACATGTCAATTAAAACAAAAAAAAAATAAATGCTATTAGCTAGGTTTACGAATGATTTACTGCCTATGCTAATTTTTCACGTCTCAAAACAGTTTATAGTAATTATATTTAATTTTATCTTATATTAAATATACCCTTCTTTTTTTTTAAGCCATAGTGGCCAAAAAAAAAAAAAAAGAGAGCTTGCCACAACAAAACAATTGGCTATTTTAATGACAACATAATGGTACAAAATGTCATGGTTGAAGATGATCATCGAATTCAAAGTTGTGTTTGATAAATAATAAGGATACCATGCATATTGTGTTTCAATATGAGTCTAATAAAGAAATATATTTAATTAATTAATTGATTGATAATTGATTATTTCAATAACAAAATTAAAATTAAAATTAAATGATAAAATTTAATAAAAAATTTTTAATCAATGATTTCTAATACTTTTAAAGTTAGCACTTTTATATAAAAATAATAAATGATATAATGTTCATACAACGACCACAATGGATTTAGGCTTTTAATTTAGGCTTATACCTTTACACAAAAGCATAAAGCCACTTTCTAATCAATAGTAAATAACACTGGCTAGGGAATTAAACCATAAAAGAGATGAGATAGAGAATAGGGTGTGTGTATAAATATATATATATATATATATATGTATAATTAATAGAACTACATGGATCAACCGATATTCAACACCGGTGCTATAATTACCAAACTTTCTAGTCGTTTTAAGTAAAAGTTCCAGTCCCAAATTCCTTTGATATATACATGCTAGTCAATTTAACAAATGCCAGGCATATTTTTCCAACAGCAAGAACCGAAGGCGCGATCAAGGTTAGCCGTTGCAGCGGGTGCTGGTGAAATGTTTTGTTCATAGTCAAGAGCCGTATTACCGTCTGTCATGCCACCGGGCGATGACCCATTAGACATACGAGTGGTCTTGATGTGCCACTCCGGCAGTGGCATCGATGAGGGGAAACTGTTGAGTAAGCTAAGCAAGTCATCATCCATGGAATTCATCTCTTCTTTGCTTTCATCACTTGGTTGTATCATCCCTATTGTATTTGATAAAATTTGATGAGCTGAAATATAAGTTGAACTATATACATTATACGTATCTTCTTAGCTTACCCCAAACCGAAGATCATGACGACTTACCTATCGACGACTGAGAAAGGCTAAAATCATCCCACCACTTTTCAACATCGCACTTACTGCCGTTATCTTCCCCTTCCTTCTCCACATTAGCTGCATCCATAATGCCTTTGCCCTTATCAATGACTTGTGGAAATTCTTCACCATCTTTGTTTCTCTCATTGCGAGACAAGGCCCGAGACTCCACCAAGAGAGCATCCAACAAGCCACTACTGCCCTCGGGTTCACAGTAATTGTTTGTGTTGTCTGAAGATGTAAACCGACAAACACCACCACTGCTTGCGTAAGAAGAAGTAGGAGTACTTGTTCGTTGTGGTAGTGTTTGGGATGAAGCAAGCTCCGCTTTCAACCCTGGATCTGGAACAAAGTCGATTGGCTGAGTTTGAGCTCCCATTAGCAATGAGCTAAAGCTTAAAGAGTGCTCAAAACTTCCGGAATTGAACTGGAATGATGGCGCTGGCAATTGGGCAGTTATGTTTTGGTTATACAAATTTGAGGATGAAGATACAAATGGAGAACTAGGGGGAAGAGCAAAACCAATGTTATTGCTACAGCTGCCAGCATAAATGTTGGAGTAAAATGAAGGGATGGCTTGATGCTGTCCAGCTGATGAGGAATTCATGGAATCTAACAAGGAGAGAGATGAAATATAATCGTGCCTTTTACCCTGAGAAGAGGAAAGGAAATTAGATGATAATGAAGAAGAGCTAATTCCTTGATATTGTTGAATATGTTGTTGTTGTTGTTGTTGGAGAAGAAATCCAGCCACTTCTTCTGCTACTTGTTGAGGGTAAACCGGTAGCCCGGCTCTTTGGCGTCTCTTCAATCTTGTATTCCAGTAATTCTTGATCTCATTGTCAGTTCTGCCAGGTAACTGTAGGAAACAAAAAAGATGAATTATAGCGGGGAGGTAGAGGGAGATATCAGAGAATAATTAAGGAAATTAAGAACAACAAATTAGGAATATGGAGGTACGTGGGCCTAGAGAACTATACATGCCCTTTAAAAGAAAAAGAAAATGAAAATCTAATGGTGTGTACATAAACAAATGATCTCAAAATACGATAAACTCCAAATTAAAGGTAACAATCAACATCAAATGGTAAAAATTAAAAGGATAGACAAGAGAAATAATGGTGATGCAAATTATCAATGGAAAACATATACAGAAAACAGCAAGACTTTTAAATAATTTAAGAGATCACATGAATGGAGAATTACCAATAAAGAAACAGAAGATTGGCAAAAAAATAAAAGAAGAGAAATAGAAGAGCAGTAGGTTAGAAATCATATATGTAGTAGCCGGCCCGATCATGTATATCCATCTTTCTCTCTGTATAAATATATATATATATATATATAGGACCGAATGCGTGCAAATTTATATTATCAGAAAGATAAATGCATGTACCTGAGCGGCCATACGAGCCCATTTGTTGCCAAGTTTAGCGTGAAGTTCGATGATGATCCTCTCTTCTTCAGGAGAAAAGGAACCTTTCTTGAGATTAGGCCTCAAATGATTAGCCCATCTCAACCTACAACTCTTTCCACACCTCATCAACCCGGAATTCTTCTGCACAGCATTCCAATTTCCTTCTCCGTGCATCTTCACATACTCCATCAAGATGGCATCTTCGGCAGCCGTCCATGGGCCTTTTTTGAGGCCATGGGTACTTATCCTATCCGAGCTCACACCGGCGCTGTTGCTTTTCATGGGGCTGGGGGTTGGTAAAACCAGTATCAGGCTATGATCAGCGTCAGCCACCACCAAGGCAATTAAGTTACAATCCTGTATATTTATGTTATTGATGCTTACATATATATATATATATATATATATATATATAACTGCCTAAATGTATATTACATATATTTGGATGCAGGCTGGCTTTGGTTTAAACTATAAGCGCTTAATTGTTTTACGTAATGTTTAAAGCAAAGAGTATGATCATTATGTTTATAATTGAAATTTGTATGTTGAGAGTTCTCTCCTCTCTCAATTCTCAAAGGAGGGAAGGAGAGGAGAGAAAGAGTGCATATAATAATAATAATTATTATTATTTATTATTCTTTCGGATTAATTTGTTTGGTGTTATGTTTCCTTTAATATTATTTGGAGGTGGTATTAGGAGAAATTAATTAACAAAACAGAAAGTATAGATTTAGAGAGAGAAAGACAGATGTAGAAAGAGATAGAGAGATTAGAATTAGATTAATTCCAGAGCGAGCCGAAGCAGAAATTAAATTAGTGTCCGAGAAAGAGGCCACAGCAGAAGCAGGTTTTGGGACATCGAGGGCACAACAGAAAAAACAAAAGCATTATCCATTGCCCATTGCCATTGGTATGAGCTTTCATTTCGCTCCGCTTTGTATGCTTTGTGCTACGTCTCTAATACTATACGTCTTTTTTTTTTTTGGCTATTTTCTCTTCTTTCGTAATTCTCCTTCTGCATTCATACGCTTCTATTTATTTATTTAATTAATTTTTTTCTTTTATTTTTCTTCTTAATCCATTCCTTAAAACAAATATTTATTTTCATCACAATCGCAATTCACATCAACAAATATATTATTTTATATTTAATTTGCACCATTCAACATTGATATTAATTTCAATGTTTTAACTCAACTCCCCTCGAGGCAAGGGTGTCTTTGGTATGTATTAGCTCTAAATATTTATTTTGATTATGAGATCGCTTATGATATAAATATTTATTTATATATATGAGAAAGCCATTTTAGAAATGCTACTCTAACCATTAAATTCTTTTGTATTATTCAACTTTAAAATTGCTTCTTTAATTTTAGGCTTTTATTTTATTTCCATAAAAACAATATGCATTAATCCACCAACATTAGATATTTAATTACTTTCCATTTAATCTACTATTCATTTTGACCAAATTTAATTTCACATTTAAGTTTTATAATTTAAAAACTATTTTAAGACATTTAAAATATTCTTTTCCCACCGACGTAACGGTTTTGAGACCGTCAGACGTAAATGAGTTTTAAAATCAAAATAAATGAGAGAGTCATCATCAATCTTTGTTAAGGTGTGATTGGTCATCCAAAAATTTATCTTTTTAATAAAACAATAAAAAAGGGTTAAAGTTTATCAAAAAGATAAATTTTGGTCTACGAAAAATCAGGTTGGATCTGGAAGTCGATTACGTGTGGAGAATGATTAGCACCCCCACAACGCTCATAAATTGGTACCATTTAATTATGTGCTATTTTCGGTGTTAGATAAAAATTGTTTTAACTTGAAATTTAATACTAATTTTCTTCATTTTAAAAAAATATTTTTGCTAAAATTTTTATTTAGAAATATTGAGAAAATCTTTAAGTTAAAGAATTATCTTAAAATTTTTCAACATCTAGACAGAATTTAAAATAACTCTTTTCGCTTAAAATTTAACACAACAATCCTTAAAATTAAATAACACTCCTTATAGAAAATTGTTGGAGACTTTCTAACATCTAGGTAGAGTACCAAGAATTATTTCTTTTAAAATGTTATTTTTATTTTATTTTATAATATAACAAATTTTTTAAAAAGTATTATTCTTTTTTTATTATAAAATATTTTTATTACCAAGTAATAAATAAAAATTAAAGATAGAATAGTACAAATAAATACTGATAATAACATGCTAACGTATGTATATCAATGAATGTTATGTAGGATGAGATGCAATTTAAAAGTTAGATTCTTAAGTATAATGAGGTCACCCCGACTCTCCAACATCTAGGTAGAGCTTAGGTGCGACTGTTTATTTAAGATCTCAATTTACTGTTATACTTTTTATTTATTAATCTTATTATTAATGCGAATTACGAAATCGTGTGAAAAGACTTAACGAAGTAAAATTTCTTAAATACCCCATCATCTAGGTGGCATTCGGGAACAAATTACTTCAAATGAAATTTTCACATGTGTTCTTAGAATTTTTAGGATGTTTTGAGTAAGGGCTTGAGTAGAGGTTTTAAAGATTAAGGTTTCAAGATTTTGAAGATTCAGATTTTAAGGTTTTGGATTTAAGTTTTGAGGGTTTTAGGGTTTGGTTTTAAGGTATAGAAGGTTTAGGGTTTTGATTTTAGAGTTTGAAGATTTTAGGGTTTCGGTTTTAAAATTTTAGATTTTAAGATTTTGGATTCTAAGGGATTTTGAATTTTAGGGGTTTTAGAAACCTAGGATTTTGAAAATTAAAAATTAGTGTTTAAAGTTTCGTTTTTAAGAAAATACGAATATCTCTAAAAATTTTTAATATCTAGGTGAATTTTCGAAGCAAGTTCGATTTTAATGATTTTTAAAAATTAATTAAAATTTTTTTATATATATTATCTTATTTTTTCATGAAAATTTATTACTAATAATTCTCCAACATCTAGGCGAAATTATTTTTTAAAAAAAATATTTTTTATTCTCTCCAACATCTAGGCAAGAATAATAATAATAATTATTATTATTTTGATCATTTTTAATATATATTTTTAATTATTACTTGTTTTCAATTTTATTATTATTAAAACAATTAAACATTTATTCTAACAAATTTAGAAATTTATCATGCAAGAATAAAAAAAAAAACTAAAAATAACAAAAATAATAATATAAAAAAATTTAGAAAATTAAAAAATTTTTTTTTTTCTGAACCGAACCTGTCAACGGTCCGATCAACATTGGTGTGGACCGCTCTGATCGATTTTACGATTTAGTCAACGGTTAGGGCTAGCGATCTATGGTTCGATCCGATTCAAATCGGTTCAATTAAATCGATCAGTAGCTGTTGGAAGAACAGGTTCACAAGTCGGGTTGCACGGATCCCGGATCATATTCGAATCAATGCGTAGACCCTCTTTAACCTAAAACGACATCGTTTTGCTCCTTAGTCTTTTATATATAACTGAAAATTTTTTTTTGTTCATTCTTTATCTGTTTCAGAAAAAAAAAGGAGAGCTTTGGGAAGAGCTCCAAAGCTCTCTCGTCGTCCGATCATCGGATCTTCGCACCAGCCGCCATCTGGGTCACCATCGGCGGTCACTGTCGGTGGTCATCGGTGATCGAAAAATATCAAAATACTCTTAGAAATGCTCTTCAATGCGCTCTTCCTATATCTGACCTTCTTTTTATCGAAAACAGTCACGATCAACATAGATCGGGGCTCAAAGTTTTTGTTTCTCTCTTTTTCTTTTTTTTTTCTTTTGTTAAAACAAGACTAACGTGATTTTTTGCTTTTTCAAGTAGCTTTGGCGCTGGGTTTCTCCCTGCGAGGAGGACTGTGTTTGTCCCTTTTTTTGTTTCTATTTTTTTTTTTTTGTGATTGGTGTGGGTTCTATTTGGGGTTGTTGAAGAAAGATGTTTCGAGGATCTGTTTGAAAGTGTTTTGAGAGGGGTATGTTCTTTGTCTGAGATTTTTCATAAAGAGGGGTCTAAAGGTTTTTTTGAGAGGGGGTTCGAGAGAGAGATTAAGGGGAAGAAGTTAGGGGTTTTTAAGGAGTTCAAAAGGGAACAGGTGGTGGCAGGGTGGCTGTAGGGTGGCTATCTGGTCTGGTGGTTAGACAGGGGGCTAGTCGTGTAGGAGAGTGGGAGCCTAGTGGGTAGTGGAGATGGGCTGTAGGGTGGCTGATCGGGGGCGGCAGCAACGTCGTACACCAGCCACCCTATTTTTTTTTTCTTTTTTCTCTTTTTTTTTTAAAAATAATTAATAATTATTTTTAAAAAATATATTTATTATTATTATTAATTTTAATAGTAGACCCGAACAAAATCGGTGTCTACAGCTGCCCCTCTTTATAAATTATTAAGAATCAGGAATAGGGCAAAGACAAAGACAACGATTTTGTCCGAAAGTAAATCATGAATTTTTTTTTTACAGATCAGGTCAAGTGATAAAAAAAAGACATCGTGTGTTGAAAAATAAAGAATCGATTAAGGCAACATCGAAAGTCGAATAATAAAGAAAGTGATCGGGACGACACTGTAAGTCAAGGAATAACAAGATCATGATTGAACTTGGATTGATCATAAGTAAAAAATGAGGAGACCGAGATTAAATCATGAGTAAGAGAAATACTAAGGATCAGGATTAAACCGTAAATCAGAGAATAAAAAGACCGGGATTAAATCGCGAATCAAAAAATGATGTTAACTTGGATTGAATCACAAGTCAAAAAATAAAAAGACCGAGAATAAATCACGAGTCAGTGGTTAATAACAATAATTGAGATTAAACTGTGATTTTAAATTAAAGAGATTGAGATTGAACCGTGAATCGAAGAATAAAAAGATCGAGATTAAATCACAAGTCAGATGATAACAACAACAATAAAGATTAAACTATGATTTTAAATTAAAGAGATCGAAATTGAACCACGAATCAAAGAATAAAAAGATCGGGATTAAACCACGAGTCAAAAAATAATAACAATCGAGATTAAACTACGATTTTAAATTAAAGATATTGGGATTGAACCGTGAATCGAAGAATAAAGAGATCAGGATTAAACCATGAGTCAAAAAATAATAACAATCGAGATTAAACTGCGATTTGAATTAAAGAGATCAACATTGAACCACGAGTTAGATATTAATGATGACTGAGACTGAACCACAAGTCAGAAAACTATAAAAGTGATCGAGATTGAATCACGAGTTAAAGAAATACGACGATTGGGACTAAACCACAAGTCAAAAAATTAAGAATCGATTGAGAGAACATCGTGAATCAAAATTATGCCAAGAGGTCTTAGAAATCATGCTCGAAGGTCTTATAA